ATGTATTAAAATGACAATATCTGAGATTGCAACACTAAAGCAACAACATAAACTTCAGTGTTGTCGTTAGAGTTTAATCCACAAAATACGATGTGTCCAGCATCCAAAACAGCTTCACCTTCTACAAGACAATGTCTCCTGTCGCTAATATAGTCTAGAATTTGACATAAATTCAATGATTTGTTCTCCATTTGGTCATTGCAGTAGTCATCACTGATGGAAACTAAATCGACTCAGGCACTGAACAAACACGTGGCCGGTTCCTTACCTGTTTCAGCAGCCATCTTGAGTGCCCTCTGTCGGATTTGACGCTTGCCAATAATTTCACTCTTGCCTGATGTCCAGGTCAAAGTGTGTTCTGCTTGGCGAGACACATTTCTCTCTGTGCAAAACTCACAAACCAAGTCAGCATTTTCATCATTGAGAAATGTGCCTTCCTGAGCCAAGCATACTCCCTTGACTTAGACATAATGCTAAAAAGCAGTGAGATACATACTAAGGTATGTGTTAAGCCAAAATTCCACCTTGTATATATTCCTTATTGCTTGAATGAATGATTTTTAAATTACATTTATTGTTAAATTGATATATTTGAAAAAATTATCAATGCTTTTTAACTGAGTGAATGTAGCTAAGTGTAGTCAGTTTCATAAGATTTTTCAGGATAGTCTGTAATTATGTTCCTTTTAAGAGAATTAAATGGGCATCCTAGTAGAAATCTATCTCGATAAAAATAAGATTTCTCTTTAATAGTAGTATGACTTTGCTTCTCCATCACAATTNCCAAAATTATTACTTCTTTTAAATGCAAAACTATTAACTAAAACAGAAAATTCCAATCTTCCTTTAAGAAGACCTATTAATAATACTGCTTAAATTATAAAATATACATTAAAGTTATTCTTGATGTATTTCCAAAGTAATTAGTAAATGATAACTAAAATTTCTGATAGTAAATATTTGAAATTAAGTAGAAAGAAGTCCCAGTTTATTCTTTATTATATTGTTTCAATGAAAACAGACAAATAACGAACTGTTTTAGTTCTTCACTGGTTTTAATAACATTTTTGGAGAAATCATAATAATTGTTATTGATATCATTAAATTTAAAATTAGGATTTAATCTATACGTTAAATATATAAATTTTATATTAAATGTTAAAAATAAATAAAAATTTGAATAAATGAATAAAGAAAATAACATAACAGTAGACAGAAACAATAAAAAGCAAGTGTAGTGCAAGTGGTAGTATTATAAAAAGCAAGTAGACATTCTGATAACTCTAGGATAAAAATAAAGAATAATATTAATTATGAATGGATTCAAATATATTACATATCTAGGCATGGAAATAACTTTTATATGAAGTTTTCTAAAGTGTTGATATTACATAGAAGAATTTTACACATTTGACAGATTGAATTTTAAAAATTTAAAAGTACACTCTTTAAAATCCCTATGTACAGTCACAATACATCTCATAAAAATTAGAAATTATCTGTGTAATCAGTGTAAGACAGACTATTTTAATTCGTTATAACTTAATCATATTTTCACAAAGCAGTGTTTTTCAACCTTTTTCTCATTGTAGACCAATAATTCAAAAAACATTTAAGGTTAAAATATTTGACTTTCTTATTACTGATGTTACGATTATGTTAATTTAAAATTAAATTACTTATTCCAGTATTATACACTGGAATAATTTTAATTTAATTTAAAATTAATTTTAAAAAATGCTTTTTGCCAAAAAATGCTTTTTTAAAAAATAATTACAGTATATCCATTATGCAACTAATGAAAGTTATAAATTATTTTTTAAGTATAATATTTATTGAAAAAATTTGGCAAAGTAGCAAAATTTTAAGCTTGAAAAATAACTATCATTAATGACTGACTAGGAATTTGATAACAGGAAATAAAACGGCGTAGTAAACACTAGTATTGTGTTTTATTCCAAAGACACATGGCAAATTTTCCATCAAATTCCTTTATTAGTTGAGTAAAGGAATTTGATGGAAAATTTGCCATGTGTCTTTGGAATAAAACACAATACTAGTGTTTACTACGTCACAAATATAAAACAGGACACGGTTTCAAAAAACAAAAGGAAATAAAACTATAAGGATAAAAAAAAATAAATCTTTCAACTTGTATGACAACATTGCTTACATCAAATTACATTAAATATGTAGATAATATGAAAATATTTAATAAAATCCTCTGAAACATATTAAACAATTTTTAGGAGACAAATCAATTTAATTATATTAGTTAATTTAATATATAATAGAATTATGTTAATATTTAATACAATTAAAAGTTTGTCAAATAATGCATTGATCACAAATGTTGCAAAATGACAGATATTAAATCACAATTATTTGTTTTGATATTTGAAAATTTAATTAACAGTAATAAATTATAAATAAATAATCAGATCCTTCTCACTTTGAAACATGAATGATCCATTTTGATAACAAAATAAAATTTAATTGCCAAAACTATTCAAATTATTTTAAGTGTAATTATGAACAAGTTGAATTCTAAAAGTTTAAAACTTATTTATGCTAATACTTTTGAAGATTCTTAATCTCCATAATCAGAATCTTAAAAAACAGATCAATATTCACATTTAGTGTTATGCATTATAATAAAACTTGTTACGGAAAGGTTCAATAAGCAAAAATTTTAACAGTAAAGAAATAAAGTTATAAAAATACTTTCAGTTAAAGCATCCAACGTTGTCTTAAATAGTTTTGGGAATTTTATCATTAAAGCACACAAAATATAATTCAAATTCATTTTTTGATTCATATACATTTGATTTGATACATAATACGAAATGTCAGGTCAATACATAAATTCATAATGTTAATACAAACTTTTAACATTATATAGGAGAGATTATGTAAATTATATAGGAAAATTATATTTAAAAAAAAAGTTTTAAATCATTTCATTAATTTAAATTAATCAAATAATATTTTAACTTCTATTTTCTATAATTTGTTAAAAAGCAATTTTAATGTATTCAAACAGAAATTTTCTATAGAGAAAAAACTTAATTTAAAAGTTCATATCTTTTTATATTACATTGAATTGTTTATTTAAAGTAAAGGAATAAAGTTATTATTTTACTTTATTACTTCAGCTATTTTACTATAAATAACATACATTATTTACAGTAAAGTAATAAAGTTTAATTTTAGAAACTGAAATTGTAAAGCACGGTTTCATATCATCAAAATGAAATTTTTTCCTTATAAAAGTAATCCTATTTATTGCAGTTCAAATCAATCAGATATTATTCATTTAAAAACAGTTGCTACACTTTCACTTTATCTGAAATTTATTAATCAAATTTTTAAAGTTAAAAAAAACTCATCTGTACTACCATTAACCATGCAAAATACAATACCTAACCTTAAACCATTCATCAAATCTGCATTCACATAATTGTTTACATATTTTGCATTGTATTCATCTCAAGTAATACACAATAAATGAATAAATAATAAAACAATCTGCAAATAGTAGCATCCATTGACTTACTAAACAATGACCCTATAAAAATACTTTTAATATTTGATTACTTCTTGTTCTTTCATGTTCTTTGGGAGTAAGCACAAAATTGCTATGTAGAGCTTATCACACAGGAACACTTTTTGTTGAATAATATAGACTTTATACAACAATTAAAATGCATTTCAGGCTATTTGCCCTTGCAGTCCTTATTGTACAATTTGATAAAACCAAAATGATATTTAATAGTGACTGTTGGAGTAACTAAGTATTTTAAAACAAAGGAAGTGGTGCATCATCCTGTGGCAAAAATGGCAATTGCCCAGGGCCCCTGCCAACAGGGAGCCCCACAACTGATCTTTTATACGAAAATAACTTCCCAAAAAATGCCCTGAAGAAAAATATCTGAAGTCAACACTGTACATAGGCCTCCTAATTCAAATTCACCTGGGCCTCAAGAAGCTATAATGCACCACTGAACAAAGGGGAGAAAACAAGTAAAACTGTAAAACATAAAAGTTAAGACTTGATAAAAAAGCAAGAGAAAAAAACACAAAAACTTTAAAAATTAATCAATAAAACCACTAGAAGTAATCATAATAACATATAAAAGCTTTATTTACATTTGAATTATTTATAAAAGTATAGCTAAAAGATTACTCATTTATTCATTCACATATAAATTTTTTAAGTATAAAAAAAACACTTATTTAATTCTATATGTGAATAATTAATTCTAACAACAGCATGTACTTAATATTTTACATTTAAAAAAATATATTATTCATTTTTATGTTATGGTATATATAATTATTTATCTTTGTGTAAGAGATGCCATAACTCGTCTCTGGTAAATGCCATAGCGTTGCATGGACTGTAAAGGGCCTGTATATAATAATAATATCGAATATGAATGCTAATAAAAACTGATGACTCAATAATAATATATTTCTATACGTAAAATCATTCTACTAAACAATATATAATTTATATATACACGTACATAAGTTTCATTCATCGACTACTCAAGAAAATTTTCCTTTTTGACACATTTCCAACTTTTGATTATCACGTGTACATTTTACATGCGCTTTAAAGTTTATTTTCACTACTGGAACCCCTCTAGCGTCGAAATATCACCTCTTCAAATAAGGAAAAAAAATTTAATGACCATTTTAAATCAAGTAAATCGCTTTAAAACATTTATTTTAATTTATAATTTATAAAAGTATAAACTAAAATTTTATTATTTATCTTAAAAAGTTTATTTGTAATTTACTATTTTTTTTAAATCTTTGTACTACATAATGGTTAATTTTAATTAAGCAAACTATTTTATATTTAAACATTTTAAAAATGTTTTATTAATTATATAATATTTTCTGGTAAATAATTAAATATGGCAGTTACGCCGTTGCTATGACTCCCGAGTAAGCATTAGTTCTAAATTATGCCGCTATGGTGAGCAGCGCCAATCGCGGCAACTGGATTTGGATTGGTTTCGGGTCGTAGTTATAAGCCTTGTCATTTGTTTATCGTACTGGCAACGTTGTTGAACTCGTTATACGTTAAATAAAATAGAATGTAGTGAGTGTTGTTTAAAATATAGCCATAGACATAATTTAAACATTTTCTCAACGCCAACTGTTAACGAAGCTCCGACACAAATTCTGTTGCCGCTATCGGCGCTGTTCGTCCTAGCGGTATATATTCGAACTAATGCTTACTCGGTAGTTATTCTTGTGTTGCTATGGCGACGACGCTGTTGTGTATACGTTAGGCTTAGGAATTGCGTTGTCGTGTGTGAAAAGTCTATGGATAAGCCTCAAGTTATCGTTCACATTCAAAAGTCGTTAGATATTACACTTTTTGATACAAAATGGATTCCTTGTAGCGCTAAATTTGTTGTTTTAGGAAGTCATTGCCGTGGAACTGGCGCTTTAGAAGTGTACGAATTATCCGGAACTGAATTAAATTTAGTGACAAAGGTAATGATCTGGTGCAAATGTAGGTCTAAATCAGGCGGTTGGGGACCTTATCAGAGCTGTAGACGGTGTCCCTAGGAATAAAAAAAAAGTCAAAGGAATCGTCTGAGTGTCCAAAATTTGAATGGGGGTAAAAATTGGGGGAGTCTAAACTTTGGGGGATCAAATTTAGAAGTCTAAACTTTTGGGGGTCCAACACCTTATTCAGAACTAGTCTTATGATGATCTTTGTTAGAAGTTATCTTCAGATACTTTGTTTATGCACTTGTATATACAGAAGGTAACTTCTGCTTAATCTTTAAATATATACAAATACAGTGATACCTCAACTTACGCGAACCTGGAGTTACGTGATTTTCAAATCTTGTCGATTTGTCTTTTGTTTTTGCACCACACAACTCTTGATTACTCATTCCCTCCACACTATTGCCCAACTTACATGTTCGGACATGTCGCGCAGAATCGACACATATCTACAATTTATTTTGTGTTATTTATTTCTGTGTTTGTTATATCTACGGAGACTCGAGAGACTCTATGTGGTGATTTCTTGTAACAATGAACTAATCAAAAGACGAGATAAGATTAACGAGAACATTTATTAGCTTACATACATCTGACTTGGATTTTACACACATTGAGAAATTATACCCCGACTTACGCAAATTCGACTTATGTGGTTATCGCTCAGTCCCACCTATCGTGTAAGTTTGGGGTATTACTGTATAGATACTGGAAAGTGTTTAAAAGTTAAAATATTTACAGTAAACTTGATGTAATTTTTATGTTTCCTCCATTTTTTGTAATTTTGATCATAGAATTTACAATATATTTATTTTGGGTAGTGAATGCATTTAGGTAATTTGTTTATGTATTTGATATATGTAATTATGTAAATGTAACTTCTACCGAAGTTATACTAAATATATAGGCAAAAACAAAAATTAAATAAAATATACTAGAAACATTCTAACTATTTTGGATTTCGTCTAACTAACTCCATTCTTGAGATTAAGGAAAGACAGACGTATGGACGACAGTGGGAATTTATAGGTCTATTTTTTCAAATTGTAGCTCAATGAGATGGTTGGAGCACTGTCTGAGTTGTAAACTACCCATAGGAGTAAAAATATTTTAAATTATAGCAGTTGGAATTTTCTATAAGGTGCTGTCTATTTATCACATATACAGTTTAAGGAAGGGTCACAAAAAGTACATCATTGTACACAATAGGGGAAGGAAGAGGTCAAGGGATTCTATGTTGACTTTTTTAGCAATATTAATGGTATATGAACTTGTACTTAAAAGCCTACTTACCAGATGTGAATAAACTAACAGTTAGAATACATTTTCAGAACTTAAAAATGTCAGTTTTTCAATGTCAGAGGGCCAAAAATTATTGTACTATACATGGGATTTGCCAAAAGTACATTGTATAGAATGGAGGAAAGGAGTCAAAAGTTGCTCAAAAACTACATATAATTAATAGACTGCTCCTGATTTAAGATTGTCAATAAACACATTAAGATTTAACCCATGTAGTATTAGTACAAAAATTTATAATGAGATGATAAACATTTATCCATTCTTATATTAATTGCTCATGAAATTTCAAAAAATAAATGAGAGTGAGAATTGGCAAGTGCCAAATCTGACAGAGGGCACTCAAGATGGCTGCTGAAACAGGTAAGGAACTGGCCATGTGTTTGTTCAGTGCCTGAGTCGATTTAGTTTCCATCGGTGATGACTACTGCGATGATCAAATGGAGAACAAATCATTGAATTTATGTCAAATTCTAGACTATATTAGCGACAGGAGACATAAAATTTATAATGTCTCCTGTCACCAAATATTATAAAAACATAGTTTTATTTATCATAATAGTTAAAATTAGTGCCAATGCTTTTATATTGGAACATGGTGTATACTGCTTAAAATATTTAAACACTTCTCACTTGTTAACGTGTAATAAACTGGCTATCACATGTTTACAAAACCCAGACAGCCTTGCTTTGCACACGCATTCTCCCTGTAATTGACATGTATTAAAATGACAATATCTGAGATTGCAACACTAAAGCAACAACATAAACTTCAGTGTTGTCGTTAGAGTTTAATCCACAAAATACGATGTGTCCAGCATCCAAAACAGCTTCACCTTCTACAAGACAATGTCTCCTGTCGCTAATATAGTCTAGAATTTGACATAAATTCAATGATTTGTTCTCCATTTGGTCATTGCAGTAGTCATCACTGATGGAAACTAAATCGACTCAGGCACTGAACAAACACGTGGCCGGTTCCTTACCTGTTTCAGCAGCCATCTTGAGTGCCCTCTGTCGGATTTGACGCTTGCCAATAATTTCACTCTTGCCTGATGTCCAGGTCAAAGTGTGTTCTGCTTGGCGAGACACATTTCTCTCTGTGCAAAACTCACAAACCAAGTCAGCATTTTCATCATTGAGAAATGTGCCTTCCTGAGCCAAGCATACTCCCTTGACTTAGACATAATGCTAAAAAGCAGTGAGATACATACTAAGGTATGTGTTAAGCCAAAATTCCACCTTGTATATATTCCTTATTGCTTGAATGAATGATTTTTAAATTACATTTATTGTTAAATTGATATATTTGAAAAAATTATCAATGCTTTTTAACTGAGTGAATGTAGCTAAGTGTAGTCAGTTTCATAAGATTTTTCAGGATAGTCTGTAATTATGTTCCTTTTAAGAGAATTAAATGGGCATCCTAGTAGAAATCTATCTCGATAAAAATAAGATTTCTCTTTAATAGTAGTATGACTTTGCTTCTCCATCACAATTAAGGTGCTATATCAGAATTTGTTTTTTTTTTAGGTTGGATCAGATCTAGTCTAATCTAAAATGTTCTACTAGCTATCTAATGTGTACACACTAACAACTTTCTCAGAGTTTTAATAAATGTACAGATAATTTGAGAATTTCAAACAATTTGATAAAGTTGCAATTATGCATTTATATTTTATGAAAATCTTTATATTCTAAATCAAGATATATAATGCATTTTTCATAAGCATGTTGCAAACAAATGGTTTGCAATTTACAGAATTGACATCTCCATCTTTTATACCTTTCTACACAATATGATTTAAATTATCATATCTGATATTATATTGCTTTTCTTGGAAGGAAAGTATAATGCTAATATTGTTTTCTTCCCTATCTGTTTTTATTTACTATTCATTTTTAATCTTCACCAGCTAATAAAGATAAAAAATTGTATCTGTAAGATCAAATAATAAAACTGCATTTCCAGATTTTGTAAATTTTATTTATCTTGATGGTAATTTTGTCTGAACATGGTACAATTTGTTTCTAAGTTGACCTTTATTTTTAACTCTTTTCACTCTGTGAACATCAAGAGAGCCATATTTTTTCCAGGCTCATTTGTAGGTTTGGCCAGACCCACACTGGAGAAGCTGGATGTTGAGAGATAGGGACTGACATATATCCCCAAAAAATTTCTGGGGTTTTTAACTGCTTAGAATCAATCCAAAGTCCTCCAGAGCAGTAAGCTGATGCTTCTGCCATCTGGTTGGTTGTTGATCTTTAGTATCATCTATTTGAAATTTTAGCCATTCTATTTTATTTGTTGAAATAAACATTAAAAAGTATTTTTATGTATTCCAAAATAGTTATAATATTTCAATAAGCAAAAAAATATCTAGAAAATGCAACTGGTAGGCCTGTATTATAAAAATTGTTTTAAAATGATGTTGCATTTATATCATTTTAGGAAATAAGTGGAAAATAATTTTATGAAACATGAATTCATGTTGAACTCTTAAGTTAGGATTGAAATTTAGAAAAGAAAATTCAGCATGCTTTTTTCTTTTTTTTACTTTCCACCTTGTAAGCATCAAGACTTTTTTCTATGCCCATGGTGGACATAGAAAAAGGCCCTTGTGGGTTTGCCCAGGCCCACAGTGATGAGAGTAGCTTGATGGTGAGGGACAGGGCCAAACATAATCATTACAGATCACCCTATGAAAAATTCTAGAGAAGTTGCTTGTCTAGATTTGATTTCTGGTTCTCCAGAATAGTAGGTTAATGCTTTAATTGCCTCAGCCATTGGGTCATCTTGGCTTATCACATATAAATACTTTTACACTCCTTGAATATAATAAACTACCATACAGATTATAAAAATATAATTACTTAGGACTAACGAATAGGTTTGTTAGTCCTAATTAACTATGTTTTTGTAATTACTATTAAGTAATTACAAAAGCTTTAATACAGACAAGAAAACTTTTTAATATATATCATACAGATCTTTACAAAGTGTTTGATTTATAATTCCAGTCTTGATTATAAAGGTCAAGCCCAGAATTCTACATTTCATTAATTCATTCTCAAAAAATGTTTTTATGAAAAATAATAATGTTTGCTTCTCTTGCTGTCTATTAGAGACACTCTTGTCAACTTCAGTTACTATCTTTTCACAATTTCTTAGAAACATTGTTTTGTGTTTAATGCAAGGCTGTGGAGTCGGAGTTTTGGTGTTTTAGCCGGAGTCGGAGTCGGATGGTAAGGAGGGTCGGAGTTGGAGTCGGTAGATTTTTACGCGACTCCACAGCCCTGGCAGGACTGTGGACTCAGAGTCGGAGTCGTGGAGTTTTGGTGTTTTAGCCGGAGTCGGATTGGTAAGGAAAAGTCGGAGTCGGTAGATTTTTACGCGACTCTACAGCTCTGGCAGGGCTGTGGAGTCGGAGTCGGATTGGTAAGGAAAAGTCGGAGTCGGTAGATTTTTACGCGACTCCACAGCCCTGGTTTAATGCCAGTCTTGTGGTTTGTGTTAAATACAAAAAATTCATAGTTTTCAAAATGATTTGGCAGCACATCACTTTTGTACATTGAATGGTACACTTCAAACAGCTTCAGGAAAATAAGAACTATGTAATGTCAAAAATTGTGTATTGAGAAATATAATAATACACATTGTTTGATATGTATTTATTTTTGGAATTTTCAAAATAAAAATTTACTTTTTACATTCATTTATAAAATTATTAATAAATTATGCTTCAAAGTTTAATTTATATTTTGTTTAAATTTGAAAATTGTGATATATTGTGATTTTGTTTATCATAAATATTTTTAAATGATTTCAGACAGAAAAATCAAAACCATTTAAATGTGGAACATTTGGTGCCTCTAGTCTTCATCAAAGACATATAGCAACTGGAGATTTTGAAGGAAGGCTTCATATATGGTATTTAAATTATTTTTGAGTCTTTTTTTTATATATATTTTTATTATTTTTATAGTATATACTTTCACTATAAATAGATTATGCATTCATTGAAATTAGGAATTTAGAAAATTTAGAAGTTCCTATATATTCTGTAAAAGCACACAATCAAATTATTAATGCCATTGATGGTGTTGGAGGACTTCATTTTGGTGTCGGTGCCCCAGAAATTGTAACTGGAAGCAGAGATGGTAATTTGAATAATAAAGTTGCAAATAATTGAAATATTTTCAAATAAATAGAAATATATACTTTAAAACTTACATAACAGGATCAGTTAAAGTTTGGGATCCCAGACAAAAAGATATGCCAGTTGCTACCATGGAACCAAAGGAAGGAGAAAACAGAAGAGATTGTTGGTCTGTTGCTTTTGGTGAGTTGTGCAAGTTTTATTAACTTAAAAAAAGAATACATAGTCTTGGATGGAATAAGCTTTTAACTAGTTTGAACAGCTGTAATTGGGCTGCAATTGAAAAAATTGTAGACAAATTTCCACTGTCATTCATCTGTCAGTCTTTCTTTAATCTTGAGAATGGAGTTAGATAGATGAAAGACGAGATGATAAGGAAACGTTAGGGGCAGGAGACCCCAATTAACTATGTACAAACTTCCGATGTAAACTGGAAGTTAAGTCCAATGTAAAGAAAGCAGAGAAAACGTTATGTTATTTCAATTCAAATCTTCCCCCCTGAAAGCAGTTAATAGAAGATCAGTAGCATGACTCTATTGTTAAAGAATAAGTATGATATATAGGGAAAGACACTACAGTACTAATTTGAGATGGAGAGCATATATTTAAATTAAATAAATTAAAAATATGATTAAAAATTGCAGCCTGGCATTGTGACGATGTCACAATAAATAATAGCTTGTTTATTCATTATCTTATTCTTTATTTTAAATATTCATCAAGCATATTAGATTTGAGTATAGTTTTAAGTTTTAATGTAATCAATTTATTTTCTTACAAATATTTTTAATGTTAAATGTGAACAAAATAGAGCCATATTATCAAAGGAAAAGTCTATATAATAATATATCAGATTGTATACGCTATTAATTTTACAAAAATTAAAATGTTCAGTCTCTCCTTGACTTACAATGGGGTTAAGTTTCTCATTGAAATAACCTTCCTCCTCTTCTCACCAGTATGATGGATTGCAGACATAATGGATATACTGTAAAACACAAGAAGATATAAGATGATATATATACAGTAGAACCTCGATTATCCGGACTAATTGGGGATGAAGGTAGTCCGGATAAGGGAAAAATTTGGATAATCGAAACAAATACTTTAATTTGTTTATGCTTCTAACACAATAAAGTGTTATAAATTAAGACACTTGGCGGGTTTTCTCATCTTTATTTAGTTGACTTCCCCCATTTGACTAGGCTGTTGTACAGCACGGTTTCATATCATCAAAACTTTAATTTGTCTTTTAATGATAATACAACATGTTTTCTTTTCGATGACATATCGGTAATATTAAAAGTAAATACTGTATTTTAACCGTGATCAAATTTTCAAGAAACAAGCGTTCGTATTGAATTTGGACTACTACTGACCAGCGCTAACAGACTACCTATTGTTTAAAAGGCCCTCTGGTAGCGCAAGAAGACGGATTTTATAAAATAAAAAGCAGTTAAAACTGCATTTTTATGAATAAAAATTTGACAAACTATTTATCATTTTATGACAAGTAAAATTTTTTCGTCACGTTCGCGGTTTTTAAGTAATGCATAAACCTTCAAAATGCGAGGCTCTTCGGACCGCGAGGCACAGGCGGTGGCCCACGTTGCCCATGCCTTATGCTGCCCTTGGTCATAGAAATGATGTAATTTGAAAATAAATTATTTATAAATACGTATGTCAAGTTATATTTTTATTACAATGCAAAATATATTTAAGAGTTTACAGCCACTGTGCCGGGTGAGACGTTGTTGAAACAAAAAAAGTTATGCATTCCATCACGTACATAAACAGTATCGTAATTCGCCAAGTGCAAATCAGCAAATTCGTAAAATTTTTGTTTATTTTGAACAATCCGGATAATGGAGGTTCTACTGTATATAAAAAATGCCTCAAGAAAGATCATTCATCAGTAGAGCAACTTCAATTCAAATTTTAATGGTTTTCCTGCACTTCTGCTTCATTTGCATCACTCATTGTATGTACAAAATATTGTGAGTCGAGGAGTATCTGTATTCATTAAAGTAAATGTAATTTATAGATTTACAGTCAAATTTTCTATTAGGGTGAGATTGCCTAAGTCATACCCCTTAAAAATACATTCTCAGAAATCAGAGAATATATTAATAAACACACACTTATGAGTATCATTGGAAAACTTAGTAAACCCTGCTTTTATTTATTGCAAAAAAATTAAATAGTCTGTGCACATTTTCTTTAAATTCATAAAATTAAAAAAAAAAATGAAATTGTATGACTAAAGAAACCAGTACCTTAAGTCTACCTCAAACTAAAATTAAATAAATATCAATATATGGTTTAAACAAGTATATTTTATTAACACAACTTTGTATAGTTGTGTTAATAAAATATACTCGTTATATACACATCTATATCTTCATTTACAGTCAATACAAATATATTTTTGTTTGTTTTGTAACTCTGCCGCATACATCATGAATCCAAGACTTGCATTTTAAACATTGAATCGTGTTTTCTTTGTGGATATCGTTGCATATTTTACAAAACCAATCATTGTTTTTACTATTCTTCATCTTTTTTGTTTTACATTCTTCTTTTTGTAATTTACGTTTAACAGAATTTTGCTTCATATCTTCATTATTTTTGAGGTAAATCTTATATGGAGAAGAAGTTAATTCCTTCGATGAGGTTGTGCTTTTGCACGTTTTTTTATTTAAACGTGGAACTGGAGCCAGCATATTCAAATTTGCCTTTATTTCTCTCAAAGTCTGACATGATAAGTTGGAGACTGAATCTGAGACAATAATATTGACAGCAAGTGTTTCAATTTCTGTATTTGTCACTACTTGTACTTCTATGCATTTGGAGCTAGAACTATTTAAAATGACTAAGACAAAATCTTTCTCACTTTGTTTCTAGCCATTTAAACACTGATTACAAACGTTTTCGGCCTTCTTAATAGTCCTTCTTCAGGTACACTGTGGTCTGCTAGAACGTCGGTTGGTAGATATTCAAACGGTGTCACTGTTTACATAGGTTTCGTCTTACCAGTGATGTACGGCTAGAAACAAAGTGAGAAAGGTTTTGTCTTAGTCATGTCACTACTTGTGTAGGTGTTGTCCTAGATGTCAATGGAAGTGTGTCGGCTGATGCGCTTTCAATTTCTTCAGTTTCAATATTCTCTTCTGGAGTTGGTTTGGATGAGTCTTCATTATTTATCATTGAAACAGAGAAGTCTCCATCCAAAAAGATATGTCTATTACATGCCACAATCCTGAAGATTTAAAGCCATTTATGGTGATATCCATACGAACAGATTTTGGGTAAAGCATACCTTGAAACTCCTTGCAGCCGGGTCTTAAGTCTACCAGTGGTATGACTTAGGAAGCATAAGGGGGTATGACATAAGACATAGCATGTAGGTCAGTTCATAAAGCCCCAAAACTATTTTGAAAAAAATTTTTCACAAAACTGCAAGAGGCAAACAAATCACTAATAGGTATATTACTATAACTTATACTATTGGGTTGTTCGGAAAGTAAGTTTGTTTTTTTTTCTTTTTTAATCACTAGACGGATTAGTCGTATTTTTCCCGCCATTTTCATTCTAAACTGTATTATCATTATATATTTTGACAACTAGCATTTTAAGGCTTATTTGTAAAAACTTTTGTTTGATTTCATGCAATTGTTTATTTTTTGTGTCCCATCAAATATGGAAGATCGAAAGCAGCATTTTTGGCATATTTTGCTCTTTTATTACTGAAAAGGTAAGAATGCTGTTCAAGCGAGAAAAAAATTATGAGACGTGTACAGAGAAGATGTATTGACAGAATGACAGTGCCAAAACTGGTTTACAAAATTTCGTTCTGGCACTTTCAATATTGAAGATGCACCACATTCTGGATGGCCAGTTGAAGCCAATGAAAACAAAATAAAGGTACAAAATAAACTGCCAAATAACAACACGTGAAATCACTAAGAGATTAAATTTGTCAAATTGAACTGTTTATGATTACTTGAAACAAACTGGTTTTGTTTCAAAGCTTGATATATATGGGTTCCAAAAAAAAATTTCCTTAAAATCCCACCAAAGAGATGCTCTCTTTGGTGGGATTTTAAGGAAATTTTTTTTGGAGCTTTTACCAGACAATTTAACAATTGCTTCGAAAGTGTACTGCCATCGAGTAAACAAATTGAGTAATATCATCAAACAAAATTGGCTGCCAGAATTGATCAACAAAACAGGTGTAGTGTTTTACCATGATAATGTCAAATTTCACACAAGTTTGGTAACTCGTCAGAAACTGCTATAACTTAGATGGGACATGCTATCACACCAACCATATTTGCCAGATTGAGCACACTCAGATTATTACTTGTTCCGGTCTATACAAATTTTTTTTAACTGTAAGACATTTACTTGAAATGACAATGTCAAAAATCACTTGGATCAGTTTTTTGTAAGCAGCAATCAAAACTTTTATGAATGTGAAATCATGCTACTACCAGAAATGATGACAACAGGTATTTGACCAAAATGGTCAATATATAATTCAATAAAATATTTATTTATTATAAAAATATTGTTTTTTTTTTTAATGGAAAAAAACGAACTTACTTTCCGAACAACCCAATAAAAAAGCAAAATGTATTTAACTAGTGTTTTCTTATAATATAAATTTTCGTCTACAAGTACGTATTTTCGAATATCAATATTTTATTTCATTTAATATACCTGTGTATTAAATAAAATAAAAAATTGTTTTCTGTGAAACTCTGTAGTGTGAGATGCGAACCACCACTGTAATTAATTAAAAATTTAATCGAAATAGTAAAATTTTTAGACAAAACTATTCTATGATTTTGATGGGAAAATTATATTTTCTAAAACGAAGGAAAGTGGTAAAAGTCACTTCCTTCAACGGAAATTGAACATCCTTTTTGTTTTCCCTTATCTCCTAAAATTTTAGTCACCCTGGGAACTGTCAACCCCTCAGTAAAATCCCCTTTTCATGTTCACGTGGAAAATTATGAAATGCTGATTGGTGAAAATTTGTCAGAAACAGAAAGAATTTTGTATCATTTGGGGAGTATGCCAGAAGATCCCAAAGAGGACAGACGTATCCCATATTGTCTCCTTAAGGCCAATGCCCTTAGTTAGGAGTACGCCACGAAATCTGAGAGGAAGAGGACGTATTCCACCTCATCTCCATACGGCCAACACCCATACCAGAATCCCGAAGTTTATACTAAATGAATTATTAAGTCGCTAAACATAGAGAAGAAAATGTTTAATAATGTGTTATTGAAGAATTAACCAAGATACGAACATTCATCCAGAACCAAAGATACAAGAAGAAGAATATAGAAAATTATTAGAGGTAGTATGAATTTGATAGAAATTGTGAGCTCTCTCTCTCCGCAATAAATAGTTTTATTCGAAGGTTTATTCTGTATAATGTTATTTTTGTTTATTAAATATTTCTTTTATTTGTTAAAGAAAGGTCTCTCATAATGTTTGAATCAGAATATTTAATCATCTCCTTCATGATTCAATATGCGTGTTAATCCGCATAATACAAATCTGATTAACTGGTATCCTGACATTGAGACTCTATAGTCTATATCCTATTTACTTATAACAAGCCCTCCTAGAAAAAGACTTAGAGATTGAATCTTGTGATTTTGTGCCGATTAAGTGGTACCAATTCTACGGAGTGTACCCCCAGCTTATCTCACAATAGCATTATCTGTAAAGCCAGTATAAGTCCTGATATTAGAAAATACATACTTGTAGATGAAAATTTATATTATAGTAAGTCAAGGACATTGAGGCATTTTAATTAGTGTTTTCTTACCTTAGGAGCTTCCACACACCGGATGAAAATTACACTCAAATGACTATAAATGAATTTGTTTACCAAAAACAGTCTTAATTCTTTAAAACACAGATGCGCATTGCCTATGTGCATAAGTACAACCGAGCTATATAACTATACACTGTTGCCATTTGTATGGCGGATAAAGTACTTTTGAAATCATTGAGATACAATTTAAGCACCTGTACGACTTAGGTGACTTCCCCTATAGAAAAAGTTTTAAAATTGTATATAACAAATGTGCAAATGTAGTAAAAATCACTTAAGACAATTTTCTCCTTCAATTTTCCATTAAAAATATTTTGTAATAATAAATATATCAATTTATAACCACTATAATAATAATATATTACAAGTATTGATATAATTTTACATTTATATATTTATTCTGTAGGTAATGCCTATAATATGGAGGAAAGGTGTGTTTGTGCAGGCTACGATAATGGCGACATTAAATTATTTGATTTAAGGACAATGACTGTACGTTGGGAAACAAACATAAAAAATGGGGTAAGAAAAAATTTATCATTTACTTTCAAATTTAATAAATTACAATATTAATTGTTTGGTTTTTCAGGTTTGCAGTATTGAATTTGATAGAAAAGATATTGAAATGAATAAATTAGTAGCAACTACATTAGAATCAAAATTTTATTTATATGATATGAGAACTCAACATCCTAAAAAAGGATTCACATCTCTGATGGAGAAAGTAAATAATGTTTTTTAATTTGTAGTTTAGTCACCATCTAAAATAAGTTGAAAACAATTTTTTCTTTCAGGCTCATAAATCAACCATCTGGTTGGTTAAACATTTGCCACAGAACAGAGATATATTCATGACAACTGGAGGAAACGGAACACTTTGTTTATGGAAATAGTAAGTTTCACTCATTTACTGAAATGAAATAAAATAAAACTTATGCTTATTTCAACTTACTTCTTTTTTACAGTAATTATCCATCAAAACGAGTGAGACAAGATGCAAATGATACACCCATAGGTGTAGTTGGCGAATTATCATTATTACAGAATATTTCAATGGCTGATCAACCAATTGCTGGATTTGACTGGAATATAGATAAAGAAGGATTGTGTGTTTGTACATCTTTTGATCAGACAGTTCGTGTGTTAATAGTAACAAAACTCCGAAGAGTTTAATACATTCATAACAGATTTCTTTATTTATATTACTTTCAGGTACAAATTAAAATTTGTTATTTATCATTTTAAATAACATAAAAATATATATCATAATATAAACTGTACAATAAAAAGTTTTATAAATTTTATATTTATTAATCCTCACTAACAAAGTATATCATGATTGTCTAGCTTTCTCTTTTTTTGAATTAATCCAATATTTACATATATTAAAAATATATTGTTGGTTGGTTTGTTCGGCAATTGTCATTATCCTGTGTATGTCAGTTGCCCTGCTATGTTTCACTGCCAATAAATATGCTGATTTTAATTTTCCACAATTAATATATGCATTAATCTGAAAAAGAAAAATTAAATTTTCAATTTTTACAAAACCTTAATGAAACAAAGAAAATAACATAAAACAAATACCTTTTTGATATCACTGGAAATTAATTTTATTAATGTATCAATAGATATTGCATCATTCTGAAAACATAAGTGTGAGGTGTGAGGTATTAGATCAGTCTCATAAAATGTAAATTTAAATAAAATTCATAGTACCTCAATTGATAAATCCGTTAAAGTTTCGACACAGGTAGATATGAAATCATCACTTTCAGCTATGTTTATAATACCACTTTTATTAACATATTCTATTAGTTGCAAAATTTTTGTCAAATTCTTTAGATTTATTAAAGTAATTGCAGCCAGGATTAAAACTTTTACCAAATTTAAATTGAATTCCTGAAACATTAAAAATTGAAAAAGGCATTTTTGTTAATTAATTGTAAAGGAATATAATTGTTACCTGGACAATTATTAAAGACTTATCAACTCCAACTCTTATATCCATATTGTTAATGATCAGCTGTAAAGAAATGTTATTAATGTTTTAAAAAAGATTAAAACTAATTAAATTAAAAACTTATATACCATTGCTGCAACTTTAATTTTTTCATTAATGTCACCTAATACACTTGGAACAGAACTAGATAATTTATCATCAGTAGAAACTCTTGATGGCAGAAACAATTCATTTTGAGATTCCCATTCCTTGAAATATTTTGTTAAGTCAATCTGTAGTTGAATTGTTCTGATATATCTGAACAAAAAAAAGTATTATTGTTTAGCTAAAATCTTAAGTTTTTTGATTTCTTACATCTGTTTACATAGAAAACATTGACTTTTAGAGTTTATTACTATAATCTGAACATTTTAACAATAAATTAAACTTTATTATAAGATATTAAATAATACATACATTCATTTAAATCAATCAAATTAAAGTAATTTAATATAACATTTTGTAAAAGAAAGAGAGAGAGATCTTTTCTTTCATTCAGAAACAGATCACAGGCCTTAAAGCAGTTATGAGAAGCAAGTCAAAATTAAAAAAAAAAAAAAGCAAATATTGTTAACAGTATTGTGGGAGACTCACTTTTACAAAATAAATGTGCATGTATAAACTCATGTCATCACATTTCATGCTTTACAATATTTAATTCAGCTTGGATATAAAATCAAAATGTTGATTTAAGATAATAGAATTTCTTTCTTGAATATGCAGGTAAGTTGTGTGTTACCTTTTCTTTATTACTGTAACCATTTTTACATATTTCAGATTAAAACAAATATTTGATTAGTTGGAAAATTATTGGAATTGACATATCCTGGTTAAATTTTCAGTCCTATGTCACTTTTTTTGGCTTCTTACCAAGGAAATTTGTTATTAAATATGATTTTCTTTTGTTTAACTTTTCCTGAAGTTCCTCTGCTTCTCTTTTTCTTTGAACTTTTTTCATACCTTCAAGTATACCCTGAGTAAGATGGATTTCTAGAATATTGTTTTGTTTAATTACCTTTTGTAATCTATTACTGGCTTCTTGAAACATTTTAGCCCTTGTTTTTTCTTTGAATTTCTGCTTCAACTCAGCTTCAAGTGTAATCAATTCTTTTTCGCCTGTTCAAGTACAGTAGACCCCCCTATAAAACGGGTTCCTATAATTACGATTCCTATAAAACTGCGAAAAAATTGTGACTGTATCCGTAAAAAAACGGTAAAAAAAAACTCCTATAATTACGTAAAACGTCATCAGGCAGCCGAACTATTTTCCGCCGTCAAGCGCCACGCTACAGAGAGATTACTATCGTCTGTACAGTATTATATATAAATTAGGTACTGTACATATAATTATATATAAATTAGGTACTGTATATATAATTATATAGTAACTTAATTTATTGTAACTTTATTATAATTATATATATAGTTTCCGCCGCCTAGCACCACACTACGGACAGTTTACGCGAACTATCGTCTGTACAGTATGTAAATTAGGTACCGTAAGTCTAATACAGTACTGTAATTTTATACATTTCTTGTGAAAGAAACATTTCTTATTCAACGGCGATTAAAATTATTTATATTAATGATGTCTCCAAAGTTCAACGAAGTTTTCGCAGAAAAATAAGTTATTAGAAATCGGCTGCTGTTTGCTGAGCTGTTCCGCGACAAAAATAAGCTTGAGCAATGGCGATGGCGAATGGTGCACACTCGGTAAGTAATCCTACAATTTTTTGTTTTTAGCGTAGTTTATACAGATTATTTCCAAAAAAATATATACGTATTTTGGAAATGTTGAGTCGGATTAGTCTAGAATCGATTAATTTTATAGAAGAAAACCTTTCAATCAGCCGTAGTCCGTAAACTTCACACGTGTCGGGCTGTGATTGGAAGGACTTGTAAGAAATTGGATTCCTAAAGAATGGAACGTATCTATGATCTTATAGGGGGGTCGACTGTATCTCTTTTGTCTTTCTTCTTATTTTAATTTATTTTGCAACTAACATGTGCATTGTGGGCTAAGTCAAGTAATTTTTTGTAATTGGCATCAAAAAGGCTTTATTGTTGTAAATACAAAGTCCATCTTTTACCATAAACAATGAATTCATAACTCGTTTGACATTGCTGCTCTGTCTTCTGTCAAAACCCATCTAGAAATGGAGACCTATTTCAACTTCAGGAAAGAGCCAACAATGCTTTGACTATGTTAAACACAATTGAGTCTTTTGGAATCCCAGCAGAATTCTGCAACCTAAAAGAGTTTCCAGTAATGGTCAATTCTATTAGCTTCCTTCTGATCAGCTGATTCAGGCACCAGCTGAAATAGCTTCCAATTGTGAAGTAAGATGTCCATTGGAATATCAAATGGTAAGCATTTTGCAACTCTGATTACGTCTGTACAACTTCTCTGTGAAATTCTTTCATGTTGTTGCAAACACCTTAATTATCTTAGGATCATTGAACTCACTGGAGACTTTTCAAGAAGATACTTACATGCATGCAAGTAGTGTTTTGCATCTGGTTTCTGAAAGGTAAGGAATCCAACTCTTTTTTTCAATTTGAGCTGCATGTTAATTTCTCTCAATGGTAGAAGATGCTTTGCAGTAAACAGAGTTTTTTCATCTTAAAGTTTACCCTGCACTATACTTTTCATGCATTCGGTGGTTAAAATTCATCCCGACAAAGAATATAGTGGATTGTTTAATCTGGTGCAAAGTTCATATATTAAGGGATCCCAACCCTGAAACTGGCTAGTAAATTTTGTGAACAGATATTTAGCACTAGATATTCCAAAATAGAGTTCAACTTTAATAGTAGAACATTTCAAAGATTTTGAAATTATCTTGTATGAAACACTATTCATTAAGCTTGTGATTCCATTCCATTTTTCAATCAATTCAATCAACCTTTTTGCTGCAGGACCAAAACTAAGCCATCTTCTTGAATTTTTCATAAATTTTTGCTTGGTTTAATTTACCAAGCAAAAATAGATGGGATGGATATCTGTATTCATCCAATCTAGAGGGCAAGCAATCAAGAAAATTGTATACTGCTGTAATGAGTCCATCTCCTACCAATTCTTTTAGACCAGGAGTCACCAAACTTCTTTCACAGTGGGCCACGTAACTGAGAGAATGACGAGCGAGGGCCACATAATTATTTTGTTCAATACAGCACACTGAATACAAAAATAAAGACAATCAACATATTTATTTACCAATACACAAACATAAATGCTGCAGCAAGCTCATAAGTGCTTTTCTTAGAAACTCCATTGCTGGTACTTACACAAAAGTGCTCTGATATCCAAAGTCATAAAAAGTCACCAAATTTTTTATTTCACTGATTTTCCTAAAAATTATATTACTGTCTTAGATAAAAATGCCAAAATTGGTCCACACTTACTATGTAGAAAAAAATTAAAATAAGTTTATCTACAATCTGATATTTCCATATAGATAATTATATTTTAGCTCACTTGTGGTACAGTGTGGCGGAGGAGGGCCAGATGAGCTGACCCCTGTTTTAGACCCATAAGATATGAATTGTGGACTGTATGAATGCTGCAGGTCCCTATGCTGATTAGGCCATTTTGCAAACTGTCAATAATTCTCTTATGAGATGGAGTACTGCAACTTATTTACATTTGGTACATCACAATCTATTGAGAGTAAGAATTTATCAAGAGAAAATATACAGTTTCAATGGTTAACATAATTTTTTTATTTAATTGTTTTAACATCTGCATGGCCAATAAATGAAGTTTGGGGATGCCTGCAGACAATTTCATCAACATTCCACTACTGGCTAAACTGCCCACAGTATGACGAGGCACAGCGTTGACTCTTAATCTCGTAGTTGTTCGTTCACTCACGCTGATCTTCTGGCTTCAGACTGATACCCCCGTGTCAACATGTGGCAGCGTTGGAGCATTACATCAATTGCACTGGTGGCTTCACTTAAAACCAGGTGGTGCCAGTCGAAGACGAGAGCCAACTAGGCTAAAGTCTCCATATAAACCACCCAAGAAAAAAAGACAATTTCATGTCTTTCCTCTGACCAGTATCTAATCAGAATTTAGAGTTCTTTTCTGTCTTTTACATTGCACATCTCCTCATAACTGATACTGTAGTGTAATTGTTGAGCATCATGTACCATTTGATCAAAGAAATAAGGGGCCAGATCATGTACCTCATTTTTTGATGTGACAATGAAATTTCCTTTGGAAAATTGTTTGTCTCCTTTATATCATAACAAGATGAAAATGAATAATTCCTGGTTATTGTTTTCATAGACCATATAAGTTCTGCAGTGTACTCAGCCTCTTTTACATTACAAAGTTGTATTATTGATGGTTTAACTGGTACCTTATTTTCCATTGCACAAATAAGGAATACTTTCAGTACTAAGACTTTGAGATACCTTGAGAAACAGTTGTTAGTCTTAACTGCTTGAGACCAAAGGTGGCATTGAATTTCTTTCTGTTTGTGGTATCCTGAATGTTGCAGGATTGTGTTGAAACCTCTGCTAGAGACACAAAATATGCAGAAAAGATCAGAGGCAGAGACCTTACTGCCCCGTTTCAGTCAGCTCTACAAAGCCATTCATTCCTAAGCATGCACTTTGTCTTGCTCATGTTTTACTTTAAGCTAGTTTCAGAAAGAAAAATGAAAGTGATTGTTAGAAAACAAAATAACAGTGCATGCCAAATGTAAGCACCAACTTGAAACCAAACTTACATACTGCAATTGATTGCCAGTAACAGAAGAATGAATTAGACTATAATTCATGTAGTCAGTCACAAACAGAAATGCCATCAATTTTCCAATTTGGCTAATATGGCTTGTCCAAGATTAAAGTATTAGCTGGTGATGTCAATGATACAATATTTAGATTAGTAATAATTATTAGATACTGAATAAAGTGATAGTTGCCTAATTGCCATTGATCTCTATTGTTTTCCAATACAGTAAGGGTACTATAACATTAAAATATATATGCTACTGGCTGCCAAACAGTCTTTTAAAAAAACACAAAAATATCCAATTAAAAATATAAATATTTTTAAAAAACAGGAACTGGTGATATTCGGACGTCTTCTCTTTTCTACAACGGAATGAATGCTGGTAAAATGTAGATGAGGAAACCTGGCTCCTGGTGATGATAATTATCTCCATCGGACGAAAATTTACAAAAAGAATTTTAAAGTATCACCAGGGGCCAGCTTTTACATTTTACCAGCGCTCATTCCATTGTAGATAAAAGAGAAGACGTCCGAATATCACCAGTTCCTGTTTTTTAAAATGTTTATATTTTTAATTGGATATTTTTGTGTTTTTTTAAAAGACTGTTTGGCGGCCAGTAGCCTAAAAAGAAAGGTCAGTCGCCAAAAGTGTAATGTCTGGAACACAAAGTTAATAAATGGTGGTTCCTATATTTTTTTGGAAAGGACTTTGTCTTCAAAAGAATTAAAATATATGCTATTTTTGCTGTTTGCTTATAAACTCCTTGAAGCAAATTGCACCTTTTTTTCATTTATACACATACAAGAGATATTTGTTGCCAGATCCAATGCTATGAAACTGGCGCAAAATTTTTGAATTGTCAAATTATGTAAGAAAATAACAAAATAGAGGAGTTTACAATAAATAAATATTTATATAGGCCTATATACATATTTTAATTATTTATTAATAAAATAAATTCAAATAATAATTATGATATATAGAATAACTTATTTTTTTCTTATAGAAAATTTTATATTCTATATCATAATTATTATTTGAAATTATTTTATTAATAAATAATTAAAATATGTATATAGGCCTATATAAATATTTATTTATTGTAAACTCCTCTATTTTGTTATTTTCTTACATAATTTGACAATTCAAAAATTTTGTGCCAGTTTCATAGCATTGGATCTGGCAACAAATATCTCTTGTATGTGTATAAATGAAAAAAAGGTGCAATTTGCTTCAAGGAGTTTATAAGCAAACAGCAAAAATAGCATATATTTTAATTAATTCTTTTGAAGACAAAGTCCTTTCCAAAAAACTTATAAAATTTTCTATAAGAAAAAAATATCTTAAAATTTCATATTGTTTAAAACTAGTGATGGGACAAATTTTTGATATCGTCCCATCACTATTTAAAACTTCAGTTTCTTCACTCATAATTTACAATAATTGTGAACTATTTCTCTACCATGTTAGATCTTCTACTAATACATACGGTATTAGTATGGTAAATAAATTAACTACCAATAAATATCCATGAATTTATGGAAGAAGAGAAAAAAGCCCATCAAATTTCTTCCCACATGACAGCCAATTATTGCTTGCAATCACCATTACTGTGTAGGTCCTGCATTAAGTGTGCCCTCTGGCATGCAACTGCAGCATGTTACTGTTATGTATCTATTGGTTTGACTTATCAAGTTGAGTATGAATCTTTTTATATATACTTGCAGTCAACAATGGAAGAGAAAATGCCCACCAGCTGAGGATGATTTTGCAACGACCATTACCATGCAGTCAAGCATGCCTCCTGGCACACAACTGTGAAATGGCTGCTTCTTGACACATTGCTGCAATCTGTCACAGTTCTAACAAGAGAGAAAATGAGAAACTGGTGGAGGATAGATTAGGTTGGTTATTCGACAAGATGAACCTATCAGTAACATGTCAAGAAGCGACTTATGTCATGGTTGCACGCCAGAAGGCACACTTGCATGGTAATGGTGGTCATAAACAGTCATCCACTGGCTTGTGCAAAGAAATTTGGCAAGCTTTTCCTTCTTCCATTTTTGACTGCTGAAAAGAACAATGAATTTGTACTTAACTCTAATCTATCAGTATGTATTAGTAAAAAGTCTGCGATTGGAAACTAAAGCAAAAAAAAAAAGGGCAGAGTGACTTTAAGGCTTGAGATCACACTGCTTTCTTACTTTTTAACCTTATCCTTAGGAAATGATAACAGATGTGATTGCAAAACTTGAATTTGTGTATCTTTAACATCACTGTGTATCTTCAAATATGTTTCCAGATGTTTTTTAGCATTTTCTAAATATAGTAACTGTGGTTTAGCACTCTTATAGTCCATTTCTGGTTCTTGATAGAATTTAATACTGGTCATGGCAGCTCGAATATAATCCTACAGCAAATTGATCAAAGTTATTTAAATGAAATATTTAATTTTCTGCACACAAGAATACTGACCTGCATAAATAATTGTAGATCGTAAAGAAGGTAATATAATTCGTTTTTCTCCAAGTAATGGCAAGTATTCAAAAGATACTTAGGAAATAGTTTTAAGTCTGAATTAGAGATGATGTTTTTTAATTTTGAAAGTAACCCTAATTTAGCACAGGGCAAAAATAAATTTTCTATAAAGATTTCAGGATCACATTTCTGTAATTAAAATAAAATATACTGATTTACTAAAAAACTAGTTTAAAAATTTAAATGTACAGTACATACTTCTTTACAAATGTAATTGATGGCCTCTTTCAGCATATGATGTCTTTGATAAAAATTAACAAAAGATTGATGATTACCATAGTGTGTTAAATAATACAGACATTCTTTTAAAATTTCATTGTTCAATTTATCCTTCTTCAACACTACCTAGATTGAAATGCCAAATTTTATTTTAAATATGTAATTTAAATTAATATTTTAGCAACAAACTTACTTGATTTATTTCTCCATTTTGAATACTCTTCAATGAATTTATTGATTTTAAAATAGCTGAATTCTGTTAATAAAAGTAAAATTACTTAACTATTTTGAATAGAAAAGTAATATTTTGAATTATGATATATACCAACCTTTTCCATAGGAGGACTTTTTGAATTTTCCAAAATACTTATTATTTCTTTCAATAGTGCATTCTCGTTCATTTGGTCTCTGTAATTATGTAAATTTTTCTTATAATCTAAAATAAATATATAAATACAATATAATTTTATTTAAACTCTTACTTTAAGACAGTGAGAGAATTTTTCTCTAGCAGCAGTCCAATCTCCTACTTGTAAATAAATTTTACCCCATGTTGCCCATATTGCAAAAGTATCAATGGAATATTTTGTTGATATTTCTAATGCTAATTTCATTTTTTCATTTGTTCTTAGAGTATCACATAATTTTCTAAGAAATAATAGTTTAGAGATAGTTAATCTTTAAAAATAATCAAACCTTTTTCACTAATAAAACACTTACCTTATGGCATCACAACTTGTTATACTATCTTTAGGTAAGAGATGGACACAATTTTCATTAACTAATTGTTTGATTAGATCTAGGAAACTTAAATATGTATCAACGTATTCGACACCTCCGGCAATACTGGTTTCAGAAAATTTGACTTTAGTGTTGAGTAACAGAGAATGAATCATACTATGGAATAAAAATATGTTTTCATGTATATTCTGAAAATGAGATATTTTTTTTTTCTTTAAAATAAATTCAGTAATATTTCACCTGATAACTAATCCATAATCAATTTCGGGATTTGGGTAACCTGCTCTTTTTGGTATTAACATGTTGAAAAGTTTGTTACACAAGCCAAGAATATAAAAAGAGCATTTTTTTACATCTGACTGGAGTGATAATATGGATAAGCATAACGAAACACTTGGTGCCTACAGTGTTATATTTCATGATTAATTGTTTATATTATTATGAATCAGATTAATACATAGAATGGAAAGATTTACTTGTTCATAATAAAATTCTTCTCGGACAATATTATTATGAATTTCGTTAACCGTCAATTTTTCGATTTCTGGTGGCGAGGTGAGACTTGTCTTTCGTTTTGCCGAACCTTCTTTCTGGATGTAAAATTGTTTTGGACTAGAAGAATGCCCTAAAATTCAGTTTTATAAAAATCTTTACCAATATGATAAATGGCATTTTATATTAATAATTTATAAGTGCAATTTTTAAAATATATAATGAAAAATTAATTACCTGACAAGTGAAATTTTAGCCTTTGTTCTAGTGAAGAACTTGATGACAGACTTCCAAAATTTCTAAAATTAAATGTATAAAAGTTTTGCTTTAAATTTAACATTTAATAATAATAATAATTTATTAAATTTAGATATTTATGTACCCAGAATATACTTGTTCAAAACATTCATCGCACACTCTAGTAGATGAATCATAACCTTCTACTGGAAATCTGTGCTGTGAACATGTTTTACATACAACACGACCGCAACGTCGACAATGATGTCTCCTGTTAAACTGAAATAAACAAATTCAAATTTATATTATTATTACATGATAATACGATATTAAACTATGTTTTTAAAAATTTACCATGCTAAATTGCTCATTTTGACAGATCATACACTTTCTAACTTGTTCATCTGGAACCCAATCTTCTTTCTTAGGTACACTTAATGGAATAGAAAATTTTTCCATTTGTATAGGCACATTTGATACTGACGAAGTCTCACTTCCAGACGGTATTTCTTAAGATAAAGAAATTTTTATATAATTTTGATTTTTAAATTTATAGATATTTTAAAATATGTATTAATATACTTAATCATTTTTTACCTACAAGATCTTCTACAATAAATATTTCCAAAGCTTTAGCTGCATAAGTTTCAAGTAAAATATTAATATTATCGTGTGATAGAGGATCATTTGCAGTTTTGGAAGTGTGATGATGTTCATGGATTAACTTCATAGCTTTTTCAGCATATTCAATCTATTCAATAAAAAAATAATATTTGATATTTAAAATCTTTTGCTCATTTAATTCCTTTTCCGTAAAACTTACTTCCATATTCATTAATAACTGTTCCAAAAGAAGATGTGGATAATATGCAAGATGTTCATACTGTTGTCTCTCTCTCTCTTTAATTAACTTTATAATCTGTCAAAAATAGGTTACATTACATTTGTGAAGCAACAATAAAATGAAAGTAAAAATATTTTTGATAAATCTTGCCTTTAGTCCAATTGATAGTTTTTCAATTGATTCCATATTACTTTCATTTGTTGAATATTTTGAATTTTCTAATATATAATGAACGAAAAAAAGTCTATTCTCACACAGATTTGAACGTTTCAGCAATACATGACATAACGATAATCCAATTTCTGGTGTTTCCATGGAATGCAAAATCTGTAGAAAATACTTTAAAATTATGATTTTTCTAAACATAAAATATTCATTAATTTTCAATAAAACATTGGAACTTATGTAAGGTTTTAAATAATTCTCTCTGTAAATTTATTATTTTAATTAATATACAATAGATGCATAATGTAATCCTCACATTTGTAGGGTTTATATTCTGCAAAATTGCTGCAGATAAAGACAATTTTTGAGAGAATTATATTATGAAACAAGTTTTTATTTTTTAAATTCTGTTCTCTTTTTCCAAAATGTATTGTATGATAGATTAATTTGTGACAAAATCAGAAGCATCTGTTTTTACCAAATTTCTTCCATACAAACAAACTACACTTCAATTTTGTCTTTGAGGACATTACTTTGGTCATTTTGCAAGTGAAGTTTTCCCATTTAATTTAAATGATATTGTTGATTAGTTATTTTTTCTTTTATCTTTTCAAAATTCTACGATTAAAGCATAACACTGATACAAATTACCTTTCGTATCCATTATCCAATAGTTTCTTGCATTATTCTACTGTAATGTCAACAACATAATTTGCAGTAAAATGCATTTAAGATGATATTTTAATATTTTGTTAATCTTTCCACAAATATATGATATGGTATATATTAATTTTAATGTATATATTAATTTATGTATAATTATTATGTAAATTAATATATACAAATGTATATATTAATTTTATCTTAAATTATAATTATACGTGGTGCTTAAAAGTACTTTTTTCCTCAAAAATTAGTAAAAAGTCCTTAAAAGTGCTTAATTTTCTATTGCATACTCAAAATCATTCATACATAAACGTTACATGAATAACGCAGGAATTTTGCATTGCTCCTTACAACAATTGGATACGAATCAGTTCTTTCATGGCTTAATTTTGTTCTATGCATTATTTGAAATAATGCACTTTTCAATTTTTATTATAAAAAAAATCAAATAATCAGTCATGTCTCTAATTTAATATTGTGTAAAATGACTATTAAATAAGACTAACTTTCTTCCCATGTAGTTGATCACACAATTCTTTAAACCCTATTTTATACTATTTTCCATTAGGTTTCTTAGTGTTGTTCCACGTTACTATATTGTTACATAGTTCATTCCTAAGTCGAGGATTGTTTTAGTACAGAAGAAAATGATATTACTGATAATAATAAAATTTTATATTTTTTGTTGGAATAATTTTATTCTGTAAATAAATTAATTACAAACCTAAAAATCTCACATTCTAAAAGACAAATAATAAAAACAAAACTTATTTGTTAAAAGCTGACTAAATACAGATACAAATGATTTTTGACATCCTCATTTGAAGTAAATGTTTTACTGTTTAAAAACTTTTGTAAAAACTGGAACAAGTAATAATCCAAGGGTGCCAAATCTGGCAAATATGGTCGGTGTGGTAGTACATCCCATCCAAGCTGTAACAGTTTCTGATGTGTTACCAAACTTATGAGATCTGACATTATCATGGTGAAACACCACACCTTTTGTGTTGATCAATTCTGGCTTTTTCTGTTTGATGGTATCACTCAATTTGTCCATTTGATGGTAATACACTTTCGAATTAATTGTGGAATTGTCTGGTAGAAACTCAAACAAAAAAAATTTTCCTTAAGATCCACCAAAGAGAGCATCTCTTTCTTTAAGAACTTGTGGATATTGAGCTTTGAAACAAAACCAAGTCATTCAAGTGATCATAAACTGTTCAATTCAACAAATTTATTCTCAGCAATTTCTCGTGTTGTTATTTGGCAGTTTGCTTCAATCAGTACCTTTAGTTTGTGTTCATCAGCTTCAACTGGCCTTCCAGAACGTGGTGCATCTTCAATATCAAAATTGCCAAAATGAAATTTTGTAAACCAGTTTCAGCACTGTCGTTCTGTCAACACATCATCTCCATACACATCGCACAATTTTTTTCTTGCTTGAACAGCATTTTTATTTTTTTGGTAATAAAAAAGCAAAATATGCCGAAAATGCTGCTTTCAATTTTCCATATTTGATGGGACACAACAAAAAAAAAAACACAATTGCACAGAATCAAAGAAAATTTTTTACAAATAAGCCTTGAAATGTCAGCTGTCAAAATATATAATGACAATTTGGTTTAAAATGAAATTGGCAAGTAAAAGTACAACTAATTCCTCCAGTGGTAAAAAAATGAAATTACTTTCCAAATAACCCAATAAATATTGCTATAAAATTCAACAAAACATGTTTTCTAAGGTAAATAGTATTAAAAGATCTCATATATATATAGCTATGTGGTATATGTTAGCTTCAGGCAACAGACACTAACAGAAATTAAAATTTGCAATTCGAACACCAACTATATAGTGTATCCACTCGGACACAAGGCAAATCTCATCATTAATTTTTATTTAGTTGATACATGTATCTAATCTTTGTACATGTTTCGGGCTATTCTTGCCTTATTAGGTACATCTATCAACTAAATAAAAATTAATGATGAGATTTGCCTTGTGTTTGAGTGGATACACTATATAGTTGATGTTCGAGTTGCAAAACAATTACCAGCATGGTTTCATAAGTACTAAAGAAATTAAAATGTCAAATATTTAATATAATGCAGAGTATATTTATATCTAACAAATTAAGATGAGATGCCTCATTGAAATGTGAGAATAAATATGTTATCTCAGATTTACCATTAGAATTTCTCGATAGATTTAAAGTGAGGAGTTTGGGAATGCTATTAGTCAAACTTGGTAATATCAGATGGCATTACTTAACTGACTCATTGTGCTTCACCAACTCACAATTTAAATAACAACAACAAACTAACATTCCACTGCAAGGCATTTCTTGTTATTGCAGCACTTAAGTGTAAAGTTATATAAGGAAAAGTTGCAAAATAAACCTTTGTAAGGACAATTTGAAATAAGTTTACAGACATTTTAATAAAAATGTTATATACAGACCTGTGGACCATTAGTGTCTGTGCATAACAAAAAATAAGTTGTCATATAAAAAAGCTACTCAATGAAAGACTTCTAAAGACATTCAGATACACTTACAAACACTCACAAAATCTTTAATGCATTAATCTTAGGAATCTGGATTATTTTATAATTCAGTTATCTTAAAAACAATCAAATCTTGATTTGACCACAAACTTATTTATATAGAATTTCAATCTCCAAGTCCACAGTTCAAAACTGAAGTGTTTCTCACAATGCACAGTATGTGCATGCTATGAACCATCCATGCTGTTAAAACAGTAACAAGCATAGACGGTTCATAGCATCACAGTCTGATTCACACAGTACTGTTCTACTTTGTTTAATCATCTGATATATGAAAGAGTATGGAGTTATATCAAAAAGTTTACCTGTTCTGCTTCCAGCATTCTTGGTGGATTCTGTTCCAATAGCCAAGAAATATGCATTTCTACTAATTCCTATATTTAAAAAATCCAGAGATATATTGGTTATAAAAAATGATCAAACAATATGAAAATAATATAAAGTAACGATAAAAAAAATATTTAAATTCAATCACTAATTTCCATACATCCAATAACAACTATAATCATTTATCACAATAATTAATTTTAATTATCCTTAAAACAATTAAGTTAAGATAACCTCTTGCACTTCTTTTGTTACTGGAAAAATCTTTTCCCATTCTTTGGCTAACTGATACTGACTTGACATCCTAATGCTTTCTAATATCAACTTGGGATTCTCGTTTACTAATATAGCTACGTCTTGCCAATTGTCGAACGGCATCATAGACTTGGTTTTCATAACTCGAGAGGCGGCTTGAATGACCTTTAAATATTCTAAGGCTTTAATAACAATTAAAATTTTATTGCATTATTAAATAATAACTTTATACCTTTTGACAGAATAATATTTCTTCATATTTTGCGTATACTTTTTTGTATAATTCGGTTTCCATTTTTATTCTTGCATCAGCGAGACACGCCTTCAGTATCTTAAGACAGATTTCACCCGGCCAACAATACAAAGAAGGCAAAATACAATTTACTCTTCTCTTTACATTTCTTATCTGCAGTGCATAACTCCACGGTTCTGCATAAGCACTGGATTCTAGTTTAAGTGATGAAAGATGACACAATATTATGTCTTTAAGGAGACTGTAATCATTGCACCAATTTGTCGTTTCTATGATGGTTAAATATTCTAATAATGTTTGAAAATTCTCTTTTTCTAAAGACGAACTAAGTAAACTCCAGACAATTTCTTTATCAAAGTGTGGACTGAGAGCTGATATAAACCAGCGAATATTATTATTAAAGTCATCTTTGTCAAAAGACTTTTTCCATAATTCTAGAGAATAGAACAGCAGTCTTTTTAGTGGAGTGTTGTGCATTAAATTTACTGCTTGTAATTTTTTACACTCAGAATCTTCACTTATTAAAGGACTATTTTTGTGATTCATAACTGCTAAGATATCAGAAAGCATCCAGCATTTTGATTTCAAATAATCAATAATATGCGTTTGTTGACTTATCTTGTAATAATCAATTTTTTCACAATTTTTTACATCGTTTCTTATTAAAGAACTTTTCGTAATAGATTCATACTCCAAAATTATTCCAAAATCATAGGAAAAAGGTTGAAACTCAACAGAAAATGAAAGAATCTTCTTTCCTGAAGAATCTGTTTAAAAAAAAATACTCAAAAATTAATAAATCTTGACTAAAGCATTTTATATTAACTGCACAGGGTCTTCTAAAAAGAATACTACCATTTTAAATTATTGTAATTATGTACACTAAAACATTGGAAAACTGTATTGTCCATTAAAATTTTTACTGCATGCACTTCATGTTGCATGACACACATCCAACCAATACTCAAATTCTTCCTACACTTGCTACAGCATATCCATTGTCACTTCTCGTGTTGCACAATGAGGAATGATTTCAATTTTGTGAACTGCAAAACACAAAATGTCTTCTCTATTATGAAATTGTCATTTTTGTTTACAGCAATTCCTAGAGGTAATAGACAATGAAATGTTTGAATGCAGGTGGGAAATGAAACTTGGAGGTTAATCTATCGATTGGCTATATTTCTCCGATAATAATTAACATAATTACAGTAATTAAAAATGGTAGAATTCATTTTGGAAGACCCTACATTTCAATTATTTCATTTTTCAAATTATAAAAAAAAAAATAAACTACAATAATAAGTTGCATCTTTTACACCAACTTTCAATCCATTATAGATTATTGTTTGGCAATATGGGCCACGGCTGTCCCCCTCCTTCTAGAAAAAATATCTCTAAACAAACTTAACAAAATATCTGACCTTAAATAAATTCTGTAACTTGCCTTTTACCAGTCATCCAAACATTGCTAGGTCTAGATTGGGATTCTTTCATTTAATGAACAGATTAAACATTTTGATCGATTAATGTACTATAAATATAGTAGAATCCTGTACAACGTGGGGGGGATATGTTGTGCATTATAGGAAATTGTGTTATCAAAACATTTTTAGATGATTTTATGCAAGTTTAAACCTAGGTCTAGAAGTTGAAGAAAATGTATACCTCTAGACAACAAAATTAGAATTTTGTATCAGTAACAGTTGCAATTTTTTCATTGCATTATATGAATTTGCATTATAGGGGAGTTCAGTGTACTATAATGGTTATGTATGGTCACATTGGCTTCATTTAAGAGTTCCTTTTCAAAATACTCACTTATCTGATGTTTTAATTATTATACCATGTTTTTTTGTATTTGTTTGGGGTTTTTATAGTTTTATTGTTAATGTGAGGAGGAGATCCATTGTCACAGACATTTCCTACTGAATGATAAATAAATCTAAATGCCAATAACTTATAGATTTTTAATTAATAGTATTTTAAATAATCATTTGTAATATGAATATCTGCTTGCAGATTAAATCAGGATTAAACGGAGGGACTTACCTATATATTCACTGTATCCGTATAACGAATCCAACTTTAATAATGAATCTAAATGGTTTTCTGTATCTCCTGTCATGTAAGATGACACCAATGTCAACAATCCTTCATTACTCGCTTGACTTAAATCCTCATTATCGTAATTAACAAAATCTTGTGAATACCAATTAAGTAATTGTGGCAATATAACCTATAATAATTAAATTTTATCAATGTTATTCCATTAGGATACAAGAATTTTATTTATAAACATCTAATTAACATAACCCTTTGTTTCATTACAAAGTAAGGATTTTATATGTATTTAATCAGAAATAATCACAAAATACAAAAGCTTAGAACAGAAATCTCATACAAAGTTTGATAGTTTTTGATGTAGAATCATAATATGCAATAAAAAATGGGAGTTTCCATTTAAGAAAATGAAATTGATCCCACTTTCACCAATTGTAGCATCATCTATGATGAAACCAACAGCTCCATCTTATGGCCCTTTTGAAAACTTCATATGATGTGTATTTTTTGAGTTATTCTGGTGGATGGATTAAAATGAACCACTGCATATTTTTAACGTTTATATATAATATACAAGCAATTACTTATTGTGACATTGTCACAATGCCAGGCTGCAATTTTTTGTCCCAATGTTCTTAATTTTAGTAGTATCTTATAACCTCTACATCATACTTTTCCTGTTAACAATAAAGTCATGCCAATCGTCTATATAAATCCATTCAGGAGAAAACATCTGAATTGAAATAATGTGATTTCTGGTCCAAACTAGACTTTTGTATAGAGTTGGTTGGGACCTCCTGCTCCTAAGCTTTTCATATCTGGTCTCAACTTTCATCTATCTAAATCTTTTCTCAAGATTAAGGTCAGATGGCCAGATACAGATGCCAGTGAGAATTTATAGATCAGAAATTTTGGAAAATTGCAGCCCAACAAGCATTAAAAAATACATTTATGTATTATTATACATCCTTCTTTATTTTATAAACATATTTTTGAAAAACTTTTTCGTCATATAATTCACAGAACTTGTTTAAATTAGCGTATAAAATGGAGCACTGTTTATATATTTTATGTTTACACATCTTTTTCACATATATGTGGGGTCCAAAATGTTTGCCTCTTACATAATTTATTTTTGACTCAAAAATTTATTAAACAAACCAAAACTCTACAAGGAATTCTATAAATAAAGAATAAAAACACTATTAAAAATTAATTAATTCTGTTTTTACCTTTTCATTTTCAATACTTGTTTCAACATGAAAATTGAGATAATCTCGCATTGCATTATCTAATTGGTCTTTAATAGTTTCAGAATAAAGAATCTGCAAAAAATTAAATTAAATTATTCTTTAATTAATTATGATTTAAAGTTAAGTAATAATTAAGTTTAATTAAATTAAAAAGGATGTAATTAATTAAAGAAAGCATAGATTTAGTAATTTTAAATTTATATTCCAAGAAATTCTTTTAATATGACTAAAATATCTGTAGTTTAGTTACTTAATTACAATCCTTATAATTTATTTTGAATTATATATTATAATGCATCATCTTTTATACATAATTTACATACATGCAACAAACTTATACACACAATTTTCAACAAAATGGTAGCAATTTATGGATCTAACTCTAATTTCAAAGAAAATATTCTTTTGCCTTTTATTAGCTTATAAAAATCCACAAAATTTGGCATGGTAGTTATTGAGAAATTACAGATTAAATGCCAATTTTTAAGTCTAATGTCTTTATCGTAAATTTTACTTAATTCTAGACACATCATTAGATAGGGAAATGTGCTCTTTTCATCAAACTTATAAACACTGCTTATAAATAAAAATTCATGATTCAGATTTTTAAAAAAAGAAACTGGAAAGTTGATATATCAACTATGAAGTTATTATTATAGGTTTCAAATAACCTAAAGATACTAATATCAGGTTAATTAAAAAAAAAATCCATATTGAATTATACAAAATATTTCTTAACATAAAACTTTTTGGCCACAGAATATAAAGACACTGAATACATCTTACATACTTTTCCAACAATTAATTTTGATTAAAACTAAATGTTTTTGGCCAGATTGTAACCCTTTATCAGGTTTTTAAATATTTTTTAGAANTCAGGATTAAACGGAGGGACTTACCTATATATTCACTGTATCCGTATAACGAATCCAACTTTAATAATGAATCTAAATGGTTTTCTGTATCTCCTGTCATGTAAGATGACACCAATGTCAACAATCCTTCATTACTCGCTTGACTTAAATCCTCATTATCGTAATTAACAAAATCTTGTGAATACCAATTAAGTAATTGTGGCAATATAACCTATAATAATTAAATTTTATCAATGTTATTCCATTAGGATACAAGAATTTTATTTATAAACATCTAATTAACATAACCCTTTGTTTCATTACAAAGTAAGGATTTTATATGTATTTAATCAGAAATAATCACAAAATACAAAAGCTTAGAACAGAAATCTCATACAAAGTTTGATAGTTTTTGATGTAGAATCATAATATGCAATAAAAAATGGGAGTTTCCATTTAAGAAAATGAAATTGATCCCACTTTCACCAATTGTAGCATCATCTATGATGAAACCAACAGCTCCATCTTATGGCCCTTTTGAAAACTTCATATGATGTGTATTTTTTGAGTTATTCTGGTGGATGGATTAAAATGAACCACTGCATATTTTTAACGTTTATATATAATATACAAGCAATTACTTATTGTGACATTGTCACAATGCCAGGCTGCAATTTTTTGTCCCAATGTTCTTAATTTTAGTAGTATCTTATAACCTCTACATCATACTTTTCCTGTTAACAATAAAGTCATGCCAATCGTCTATATAAATCCATTCAGGAGAAAACATCTGAATTGAAATAATGTGATTTCTGGTCCAAACTAGACTTTTGTATAGAGTTGGTTGGGACCTCCTGCTCCTAAGCTTTTCATATCTGGTCTCAACTTTCATCTATCTAAATCTTTTCTCAAGATTAAGGTCAGATGGCCAGATACAGATGCCAGTGAGAATTTATAGATCAGAAATTTTGGAAAATTGCAGCCCAACAAGCATTAAAAAATACATTTATGTATTATTATACATCCTTCTTTATTTTATAAACATATTTTTGAAAAACTTTTTCGTCATATAATTCACAGAACTTGTTTAAATTAGCGTATAAAATGGAGCACTGTTTATATATTTTATGTTTACACATCTTTTTCACATATATGTGGGGTCCAAAATGTTTGCCTCTTACATAATTTATTTTTGACTCAAAAATTTATTAAACAAACCAAAACTCTACAAGGAATTCTATAAATAAAGAATAAAAACACTATTAAAAATTAATTAATTCTGTTTTTACCTTTTCATTTTCAATACTTGTTTCAACATGAAAATTGAGATAATCTCGCATTGCATTATCTAATTGGTCTTTAATAGTTTCAGAATAAAGAATCTGCAAAAAATTAAATTAAATTATTCTTTAATTAATTATGATTTAAAGTTAAGTAATAATTAAGTTTAATTAAATTGNACAACTATAATCATTTATCACAATAATTAATTTTAATTAAAACTAAATGTTTTTGGCCAGATTGTAACCCTTTATCAGGTTTTTAAATATTTTTTAGAAAAAATAGCACTCCATCTTAGAGATTTTGACTTAGTTTTAATTGATATAAAGACTGACTAAGACTTGTTAGTTTTAATTAAAATTAATTGCTGGAAAAAAGTGTGTAAGATGCATTCAGTGTCTTCATATAGTTTGATAGTTCCAGCTTCAACTATTGTGGATACTTTTCGGCCACTTGAATTAAGTTATCTATTCATTTACACAATTTACATTTTGAGTTTTTGATTTTATGTACAGGTAAGTACCACTTAATAAAGATACAATCTGAAAAGTATGTTAAGCAAATGTAATATACTGTACTTAAACAAACCTATATGATATAATCTATTCATACAGACTATGTCTAACACAATGAAGTATTTATATATCTAAAAATAGAAAAGGTACAGGCAACTACAAATTTTTCAGTTCCATTATAATCTTATGGAACCTCTTGTATATATGGTCTATTCTATTGTTAAGCAGTACATATCTGTAATTGAAAGTTAATACAAAAAATTACCTGCAATTTTGGCGATGTCATGAATCCTTCACAAATAACAAACAACAAACGTGGTTCAATTCCAAAATCGACAATGTCTGGTTGTTCAAAACAATCTACAAGAAGTAATAGCAACGTTGTTATGAAATAAGATTAAGTTATAATAAACTATTAATAATAATATGAAACATGAATATTACATTTACCAAATAAATGACTTAACGACAGAGCTGACAAAATGTGTGATGGAATGGAAAGCCCTGCATGAAGGATATTATATCGAAGATCAAATAGACTGAAAAGAAAATCAATTAAGTATACATTTTAATCATTTTTCAAATAGTAATTATAATTGTATACACTTTAACTGAAAGATTTGATTATTAATTTATAATTTACTGTGATTTTACATTGAATTTCAATGTCTTGTCTATCTGTTGGCTTATACAAAGAAATTGGTAAGTCAAAAAGACAGTAAAGAGAAATGAGATTTGAACAAAGTTCAAACATCAAGAAGTCACCGAATTTGAATGTAAACTGATAGATGAAGCATTGAAAATAGAATTTGGAACATTGAGATGTGCGGTCTGTTCATATAACTTCATGCATTCTTCTGCAAGAAATAGTTTACAATTGTACTCTTTGCTAACAATTGTTGAACTTTCAATCATAGATATTAAATTATTTACCTTTAAATCTATATATCAACATCCCAAAGCCCAATGTATTGATACTAATCCTAACGATCACCTCTAGTACCAAATTACTTAGTTTCTAATTATTAATTATAGCATAATAATAGACCTATTAATTATGGCAATCATTTAGATTAGTACCTATAAATCATAGTAATTAAATTAATAGCTTTTAGGTAACAAGTTAAATTTTTTGGTTTGTAAATGAGCATCATATGTGAAGGTAGTTGTGACCAGCTGAAAGTAAATCCCACCTTTCTTCATTCCAAAAATATTTCAAAAATGGTGGTTATTATGAGAAGTACGAATGACTCACAACAGTGTGGTTTCATTGAATATTAGGAAATAATTCAATGAAACCTAGTGTCTTTCCAGGACAAAATTTATAATAACTGATGTTAACATTACTATTAAGACATTGCTAGAACTTCTACGATAAGACAGGTAATGCAGAGGGATACATTTTGCAACATACAGTGATGAGATGGGAACTTTGCTTCTTCATTCCATGCACAATGTTACAGTGAATGGACTGGATAGGAAGTATTTTTAAATGATAACACTTTAAATTAATCTGGAAATAATTAAAAAGTATTCATTTCGTGACAGGCAACAAACCTGACTGCATCTAATTCTCCAACTTTATATGCATATATTTTTTGACAGATGAGTCGTTCTGTAATATTTGATGATAATATTTGAATATGAGGTGGCTGTTTTTCCGGCTGTACGTTAATAATATGATTATTTCTCAATATATCAATATCCTATAAGATAAAAAATTTATTTTAAAAAATTAATTAATTATAATTATGGTTAATTTTATTCTCTAAAATGTTTTCATAATTACATTTTTGGATTGTATGGTGTCGACTTCCGAAAATATCGCATGAAGCCACATGATATTGCACAAATTTCCAAAAAATGCTAATTTGTCTTCTTTAGTACTTAGTAAATTAAGATTTACATGGGCTATTTCACTTGTACTTGCCATCCAGTCTTTTATCTCTTGTTCTTTTACTAATGAAATAATGTGAGACATCGTTATGACTCCTTGACAATTGGCTCTAGCACAGGTATCTAAAATATTTTCAAAATTCTTTTTTAAAATAAAGAAAATTATAAAATTATTGCATTACTTTTAAATATAATCACCTTGAAATATATTCAAAATGTCGGAAAGTATTTCTCGAGCCGCAACGTCAGGATGTCTCACAGAACTTGGCACATTTTCCAAAGCATTCAGTATAATGTAAGAAGAGTCTACATTGCCTGTTTCAAAATAATTACATTTACGAATTTAATAAAATTTAAATGGATTTTAAAATTTACATTAAAGTTTCATACTTTTATATTTTAATAGATTTTTCTTCGAAGTGGCTAATATATGAGGAAAGCAATTCTGTGTAAGAAGATGGACTAAATTAATCTTCATTTCAGTAGCAAAGCTCTCTAATCTATAATTTACACATAAATTTTTCAGAATATAATTAAATTATACATTTATCATATTCATATAATTCAAATAAAATTTGTATTTTAATTATAATATGTGGTAGATATAATAAAGGATCCTGCATAATTAGATAGATATGGTCTTTTTTTTTTTTTAGGCAATAATTTAAATGATGTAATTTAAGTTTTTAATTAATGTTTTCTTGATTCGCAAAATGCCATCAAACAATCAAAGTTTGTTAATACTTACTTTGTCGGAGGAATACCGTTCTGCAACACCATTTTTGACAATATGTCTCTCGGACTTTCTTTGAGAACGGAAAAGTAACTTCTATTTGTATAACATGCTGAAAATATTAAATATTGTATTATAAATTACACATATTTCCACTACATTCATTACATTAAAAGCTATTTTATTGGAAAAACTAACAAAAGAAATCAGCGTGACATTTTACTTAAGTACTTTCAAGATTCTTAGGATCATTGCCGGGGACAATTAAACTTGGAAGTTTCAAATTCTGTAATTTAAAGAACATTCCAAGCATCCTCCAATCTCAAAGAGAATGAAAGGAGAAGCTCTCTTTGAAACTGGAGCATGTTGGCTTTGTATTGGATGTTTGGAATGTTTTGAATTGACAGAATTTGGAATTTCAATGTTCAGTTGCCCCCAACAATGTGGCTAAAAAGCTCAAAAATACTTGGATAAAATATCCGAATGGTTTCTTTTGCTAGTTTCTCCAATAAAACAGCTTTTAATGTAATACATTTATTCTAAAAAGTTATTTTAACTACACATTACTGAGTAAAAAAAATGCTTTAATGCTTTATTAAAAATGTTTCATTGTCATACTTCTTACGATAAATTTAAAACTAAACTTAGTTATATTATTAAACAAATAAAATATGCACAAGTTTCACAGCTGCAATATAATACAAATTGCAAATTAGCTTGAAGGTTAAAAAAATCTCATAAATATATACAATTTTAAAAATAAAATAAAAATAATGTATTTGTGATATTTTAATTCAATAAACTTTTTATCCTCGATAAGCTTTAACATCAATTTTTGTTTATTAGAATATAAAATAAGAAATTTTACATATGTTAAATACAAAATTGAATACAGTAGACCTCCCTATAACACGGGTTCATATAATGCGGATTCGTATATTGCAGCGAAAAAATTACAACCATATTCGTATAAAGACACTAAAAGAGACACGTATAATGCGGTAAAATGTCATCGCCGACTCGTGTCGCAACAGGATTGGTCGAATCTAGACCAATAGCGGATATTGCACGAACAGTTGAGTTTAAACAAGCAGCGGACCTACTAAAAACCATTTTTTTAATGGCTATAAAAATTATATTTATATTAATGATGTCTCCAAAGTTCAGCAAAGTTTTCACAAAAAAATAATTTATCAGGAAACACGCACCTGCCGTTCGATGCGTCACTCCACGATGAAAACAAGCTTAAGCAATGGTGTCGTCGAACGGTGCACACTCATAAGTAATCCTACACTTTTTTTGTTTATAGCATAGTTTATATGGATTATTCCCAAAAAAGTATACGTGTTTTGGAAATGTTGAGTCAAATTAGTCTAGAATCGATTAATTTTATGAAAGAAAACCTTTGAAACAGCCGTAGTCTGTAAACTGCATACGTGCAGGGCTATGATTGGCTCACGTATTTAAGGATTCCTACAACTTGAAATTCTTATAAAGTGAACGTATCTACCATGTTATAGGGGGGATCGACTGTATATATATATATATATATATATATATATTCATTAAGATTAAGGGACGAGGCCCAACACATCTAGGACAAACTGCCCATGAAAAGTTCTTGGAATCGCTTGTCTGCATTCAATTCCAATCCACCAGAGCACTAGGGTGACATCTTACTGCCTTGGCCATACAGTTACCGTGTTTGAAGCATTAAAAAAAAACTAAAGCAAAACTTTATGTTTAAATTTATTATGTAAAATTAATATGGTGTGATTAAAATTAATTAAATGGGTTAAGAAATAAATACCTACCTATATTTTGGTCATAGTTCCTACAGTTTATTAAAGCATTCGTCACGTGTTGCACGTGATCATACATTATCTTCAAAAAATTGAAGTATCTCTGCTTTTGCGCTAAAGAGTTATTTATCCGCAGAAACTTTAACTGAGAAGAACAAAGTTTTAATAATTTTTTAAATGATGTGTGAACTTGATTTGTTTCCACAAATTCTTTGTTTTGCATTTCTTCTGCATTATCTTGTTCCAATAACTCTTCTACTTCTTTAAGAATATAGGAAAAACTTTGCCAATTTGATATCTGATCTCTGTACAGTTTATGATTGAACGATCCTAACATGATAAAAAAACTGCACGACAAATTGATTTTCGGAACAAGAAAAGAAGGAAATTCTAGAAATTCTGTTTTCTGAAAGTTCTCCATTTCTTGTAAAAGCAATTCTATCTTTTCAGCAGTTTTATTAATACCTTTAACCGAAGGAAGAAAATGTTTTTTCTTGTGTTCTACCAAATTTTTATCAGGAAACAAAATGGAAGTCCGTAATTTCTTTCTCGAGGTCTGAAGCAACATTCTTCTTATATCTAAATTAGTATTACTGGTATATGCAAAATCTGCGAAAACAATTGCATGCATCTCTTTACATTCGTCTAAGATATTGTGAATATTTTGACTTTCTTTAATATTAACAAAATCTGGAATATTAGGAAGCGAAGTAGAACTTAACATTTCGTCAATAATCGAAGTCATCATAGTGGATTGTAAGCCTGCATCAGCTGCATTTGCCAATCCGATTAAATTTTTAACTTCTACCATAGAAGATTTATTAGAATCTGTAACAACTCCTTTCACTGTAAACATATTACTTTCTTTAATGACCATACTTTTTTTTTCTTTGCTTAAAGATTCAATTTTTTTAATACTCGAAACGTAATTTTCAGCAAAGTGTACTTCTGAAGCTTCGTTAGTGCCTTCTAGATTAAAAATCTACAAAAGAAAATAGCAGTATTAATGTAATATCCATTAGAATCAATGTTCTACTTTTTAAAATAAATTTAAATACCTGTATAACTTGTTTTGCTTGAGTGTAATTCTGTTTCCATAAAGAATGACAAAGTAAATCAGTAGGAGATGCAAGCATATAATGAATAAATCCAGATTCCGAAAATAATGATTTCTCTTTCTGGAAAGTGCTCCTATGCATCTTTCTTTTCACTTTAATTTCATCTCTCCCACTACTGCTCGATAAGTGTTCTAATAGTATAAAATTTATGCTCGTTTATCGAGTTTCAGATAATAAATTAAAATTTTTAATTACACCTCACCTGTATCACTTGATCTGAACGAGTCTTGTTTCTGAAATATTGCTATTCTCACATTCCTGTTGAGAGTATCTCCACAAATACCCACTTCACGTGGTACAATATCTGAAGCAACCAATTCAAATCGCCACTGTGCTTCATTTATATACTTCAAAAGCTCCAATAATCGCTGTTTTACTGATGACTCTAATACCGATGTTTTGATAAATAATGATAAATTGGAGAAATTTTCGGTTGTACTTTCATCAATATTTTCCTAAATTACAAAAAAAAAGCATAATTATAAAATTAGACAGAAACAACATAACATAATTATGTTATGTTGTTTCTGTCAATTAGAAAACATCTGTAGACAGAAACAACATAATTATGTTGTTTCTGTCTACAGATGTTTTCTAATTGATTGGCAATGTCTATTTTATCTCTAAACCAATAAATACACAACAGAATAGCCGATTGGTTAGATCTTGAAAATATAACATGCCGATTTTCCATGCTTATAGGTGGGGAAAATCGGCAATATATTCCACAAAGTACATAAAAAACTCACTATTTTCAAAAGCTCTTATGGTATTAGAAGCATTTTTTTTTTAATTTTGACTTTTTATCTTTAATAATGGTTACTACAGAGACATCAGTGTGTAGTTATTGTATCAGTACACTTACATTTAATTTACATTGACAACTGTGCAGTGCACTTATAAGCCAAAACAAACAGGCAAGCATACAAGCATGCTCTTATTTGCACAGATAGAAGCTTCATTGATTGAGAATGGCAGATTATAGAATTGAAAACTTCTTGGAATAAAACAATAATGAACAATGCAAAAAATGTAGCTTAAAATGATTCTTTTCAACAAAAATCAGAAATAAAATAAATTTAACAGCAAGAAAATGGAAGAATATTATCATAACATCAGATAAAAGCATCTATTGTGCCACACAATAAGGTATATTTGCTCAAACCACTCAAGTAGCTTCCCACGTGTTAAAGGTTAATAAATGCTATTAAACTAAGTAAAAATATCAGTATTAAATTTAATATTAAAAAAAAAATTCTTACCACTTTATCATTAACACCAGTCTGTTTCTCAGCCATACTCCTATAAATTGCTGAATTGGCACTAAGATAAGCTTCCTTAAGCATAGCTAATATATCTCTAACAATAAGTTCATTACACAGGAAACCACTTTTAGAGATTCCATGATAAAATTTTTTATTTTTAAGCAGGAAATTAGATTTCTGACTATTCGACATTTTGCGTTTTGTAGACTGAATATTATTTTTTAATTGTTTATAAGTAGCACAAGAACTCATCTTATTTAATCCCAGTAGCTCATCATAGTGCTTAGATTCGTACTGATCCTCCGTTTGTTTATCATCAGCTACGTCGTCGTACGAGTCAGAGTTTGTACTTTCTTGAAAATCATTAGATGTCACAAATAACAGAGAAAAGATATTTTCTAAGATCTCGACTCTGAAAGAAACTGGAAATATTTGATCTAATTCAACTTTCGTCTTTTGTAATCTTTCCATCACAAAATGGGAGTAAGTAGCTTGAATTCCGTATTTATAGAAAAATTCTTTAATAGATAATTCGTTATCACCAGTTTCTTGAAAAGAAGTCTCATTTAATTTTGGTTTCTCTTCTTCAAAAGAATTAAGAATTTGAGGACTATTAAGCCTTTTATCTGATGATCTGGAACATAGTTGTTCAAGTTCACAGCAGGAAACAATAGCATCCATAACATGCATTATTACCAGGTAGCCGTGAAACACCATGCTGTTACTTAAAAGCATTAAATTATCGGCATAATCTTTATTAGGCTTATCGTCTGTAAAAAAGAAAAATTTGTTTAAAAATTAAGTTAATTATAATTTATAATAGATACTGATTTATGAACTGAAAACTGCATCATCATTTCCTGTAAGCTAGTGTCGTAAACTAGTATGTTTTTGTAAATTGTAACTGAACTGTAACTAAAATAGTCTTTTCAGATAACCATATCAGTATGGCATCTTAGCAAGGTACTACTGCACAGAAATGATCAAAAATTAAATAAAGCAGTCAAATATAGAACAAGTATCCCTCATATAACATGGTAGTTGCATTCCAAAAAAGTGCAGTGCTATGCAGATTAGTGCACTAAACAATGTGGACTAAACACAGGACTAATGCAAAGCATAGGGTTAGGTTCCAGAAGTTAACAATGAGTATGTTATTTTTTTTTCATTACTAAAAGAAATATGTTTATTAAAGCAATCCATAATTTATTTCCAATCAATAATTAATTAACAAATCATAATTAAAAGTACTGCATTGCATGTTAATATTAATTTTAGTTAAATGAGGGAGTTTTCTTTTTACAAAGTATCGTTGTCATCTCGGCTATTTTGCTGATCTTGATTGGAAGTATCAGCAACATTTTCATATTTTCTATTTTTATCATAAAATTTTTTATGGATGATGAAATAAGAATATGTTATTAATCAAAAATTTGTATTGGCAGGTTGCATTTATTCAGTCAAGTACCAAGCAACTTTTTTCTAGAATTTGTATTTGAATACCAAATGATACTGCTGTATTTTGTTCGTCATTTTAAGAATGACTGCTTACCTACAGTTTAAGAAAAGTTTAATAGCAATTATCTAAAAATGTTTAAATAACTTTACTAAATACGAAGATTAATATATAAAAACAAAACTCAGTGACAGTGTTAAGGGCTACAGTCTGAAAGCAATGATGATATCTGGTTAATAGGAAAGTTGGGACAAGGAAGAAAAAAAGTTGCACTATCGTATAGTACAGTTATAGTAAACCTGAGAAAAAGCACAAAATAATTTGAAAATTTTCAATATTCTGAAATCCATCGGCAAATTTGAGATGGAATGTACTTAATTGAATTTTAAAAAAATATCAAATAACAAAGTTTACACTTAAAATTGTGAAATTTTCTACAGAGGACTTCCAAAACCACGTTAGAGTGAAACAGTGTTTCATGAGGGTTACCTGTATTTCATACAATCATTAAAAGAATTTAAAAGGCAAAGAGCGTCAGAGTGAGTGGTATAAAAATATCCTATTTCTAATATCATTTACGATGATAAATTACAGTAATTCTGTGGAATAATCTACACAGAATTATGGTTGTGTGATGACTTGGGTTATCTGCCAATTCATCCTTGATCTGGACCATTACAAACCTCTAACTCTTTACCATGTAAAGCTTAGCTTTTGATGAACATGTATAATTAATATGATTTGATAAATAAAATATTAAAAATAAAATAAAACAATAAAAAAATAAACAACTAGTGGAACTATGCAGGTTATGGAAAGATTTTATTTCCATTCTAATAATTTTCTGCAGTATGTACTGTATACTAGTGTGGGTTATACATTGCCACATGTTATTTATACTGTAATTTTGTGTGGATAATTATTATTTACAGATTTATAATTAATTAGAAATGACTTTTAAAATTTTCAATATTTTATTTTGAAGTCAAATAAAATAAATTCAAGTTAATTCTAATCTTAAAAAGATGTCCTGTAACAAGTATTAATCAAATTATTACAAAAGTTTCTAGCCCTTGGTATAATTATATTAATTAAATTATCAACAACCGTGAGGCAGATAATAGTGAGGGAATATCAGACCAATGATGGGCACAAACGCTCAGGAATCAAAGTGAAAACGTATAATAAACACAAGAATGACTACATAAGTATGGAAACGAAAAAATCCAAAATTCATTTCGGACTATTTTCCGATAGAAAATGGTCCCTCATCAGTTGGTATTAACTAAAGGTAATAGTATATTAAAATTATACAAGGTAAAGGTAAATTTAAAACTATGCCTAAAGCTATACAATATACAGATGAAAACACTGCTGTAACTGTATGAGCAGTAAGCATCATCAGTAGCCATCACTATTATCTGCCTCATGGTTGTTGATAATTTAATTAATATAAGTATTAATCAATATTACAAGTTGTTTTGCTACATTCTTTTCCAGATTTCCACAAAGTTTACTGAAATTGATTTTCTCTTACTCTGTTGAGTTATCAGGAGTCAAGTTTTCAGGGACTCTACTGTATATATATAATCTGAAAAAGGAATATACTACAACAGATTCCCTATTTAATGTTTTCTCAAGGACAAGCATAATTCAGTCTAAAACCAAGGAAGCTTAGAATATGGGTTTGGTAAAATGATAATAAAAAAGCAATTGTGATAAATGTAATTAATATTTATGCATAGTAATCTCTTCTATTACTTCAATAGTACAAAAATTTAATGGTAACATTTTAAAATTTATATTATACCAGTTGATGAAAATGAATGGAATTACAACGACAATAATAATTTAAAAACGGCAGACAGTATATTTACAATATATATAAAATACAGAAGATACAAAGACATCTTCATTTCTGCCCTTTTTAACTGTTTTGCATATTGTAGCAGATTTGTAGCCTATAATAACAAGTCGTTTCTGCTAAGGAAGACTGTTAGTTCCTGGTGTTGGAAAGGGCAGATATGAAGACATTTTTGTATCTTCTGTATTTTACAAACAAATCACAATAGTTTTTATTATGTAAGTTTTATATATCTTGATTAAATGTATACATATTAATATATCAATTATTGTTTCATACATCTTAAATGGGCAATGCATGATACTCAGTTGGGGTTTTGGAATTTTTAAAAAGTTTAAGAATCCCTTTACAGTAATGCACAATGATCTTACCAAAGATTCATCAACAATCTGTTCTCTTCACTAAGAAAATAAACTAGTCCCTGCTATTGTGCATTGTTATGGCCCAGTCAAGATTCACGAAATGAGCTGTACAGTATTTCAAAATGCAAATATATAATGCAAATCAGTCTTTAATCCAGTCCATTTTTTGCTTATGCAAAAGTGCAACAGCAAAAAAACTCAGGAAACAAAAATAGCCCAATACTCTTTTATCCTGTAAATGTTAAATCAAAATCATATTTGAGTGTGCTATTAAAAAAATCACTCTTTACAATCAAAGAATGTAATGTAAAATCAAAAAATGCTAAATTAACGTCTAAATTCTATTCTTTTTATAGAACAAAAGAAATTTGGGCAATATCAAAAGCGCTCAGCAACTAAATAATAATAAACAAAACACCTTTTTTTGCCGAGAAATAAATATAATTTGCAAAAACAAATATAATTTGCAAAAACAAATGTTTTCAGCCTAGTTAATAGGCCATCTTCAGGTCGAAAAAATGGAACGCAAATGTTCCATAAATAGAACATAAAAATTATTTAAATCAAAAATTTTACAAGAAAAAATAACGGAAGAATAAATAAACAAATAAATAAATTAATTAATTAAAACAAATTTTCGTTGCTTCTGTCGATCGTTTAATTCTGGTCGAAGTTTCTAGTATATTTCTTAACCAAATATTTCCATGCCGATGGTAGGCTCTCCGCATCTCTCGCATTTAAACAGCCTTCCCCTATCCTACTTCTGTATATTTCAATTTTCTATTCAAAGCGGATGATTCACAAGGAATCATCCGCTTGTCGAGATTTTTTAATCTTTTTAACATGGTTGACGATGGTTTTACACCACACCCCGGTTCTTCTTCTAAGGATGATAAAGTTCAAGAGAGATCAGATTCCGCCAGTATCTAGAGACGATCATCAGCAAGAATAATATGCAATCTTCTGTGGAGCTTATTCTTTTAATTCGGCCCATCAGAAACGATCATTCATTAACAGTTCCATCGCCAAAATCACGGTTGATATTGTAAATGGCATGGGCCGCATTGTGATTCAGTTCAGGCTCATACAAACAATTATTTATTGTGATATCGCCACAATCCGGGATGCAAGTTTTCTCCATGCTCTCCACCTAAAATTAGTACTGTAGTGTCTTGCCACTGTACATCATACTTTTCCTTTAACAATACAGGCGTGCCGGTCATCTATTAACTGCTTTCATGGGAAAGTTTTGAATTAAAATAACGTGACATCCGGTTTGCATCGAAAGTTCATATATCGGGGCCTCTTGCCTCTAAGGTTTCCATATTTGTCTCGGATTTCATCTAACTCCATTCTCGAGATTAAGGAAAGACAACAGACGGACGAGTGGGAATTTATAGGTCTACATTTTTTTTCAAATTACAGCCCAATAAATCTTATTTTCTCGGCAATCATTATATTAAACTCCTGCAAAAATTACAATTATCAGAAAATTAAAAAAAATAATAATAACTTACCAAAATTGTTAAGAGCTTAACACAAAAATCAGAACTGTCAACACTCAACTAATCACTCGAATAATTAATTTGTGAATGATCAATTCAACATTTCGCATTACATACAAACAAGATTTAAAATTGATTGTGGTGAATAAGAAATAAAAATAATGAAAAATTAAAGCAAGTGTTTTAAATTCCTTTAAACTATATCATATTGAATTATTCTAGAAATAACTTACTCTAATTTTTATTTAGTGTTATGTCACAATTTTACTACGTTGTATAGTAAAAAATATGCATAATGCAGTTTGCTCTGTAAATTTAATTATTAATTAGCTAAATACATTTCGATACTTATTAGATGTTGATAAACATATTTTATCGTCGTTTATATCTGCTTGTAACAAGTATAGAATTCATTTTTAATTCTTTTGTCGGTTATCTGATTTGATTGTTTTGTATTCTGTCCAAGGTAAATGAAAATTCTCTATTCAGATATATATTTAGAAATATTCGATTTTATATCTTCTTTTATTATCAATATAATTATTTTGTATTCAAAGTTTCTCGTCGTAGATCTTACTAAAGAGGAAATGTACTACACACTTCGTTTCAAAAACTTTTTTGTTAGACGGTTATAATTCATTTACCAATGCATCTTCTAATGATATAATATAGCACCATCTATTGTTAATTTATTTTATACCCTATATTAATTTTCCCGAAAGTTGAATATACTGTATTGCATTTTTTCATAACTGCATAAATATACAGAAATAACTGTTTCTAATGCATAGTGAGATGAAAACCTTTTCGTAAGGAGCTATAATATCCCTCGTATTGGGCTGCAGTTTTCAAATTGTAGACCTATACATACCCACTGTTGACCGTCTGTTTGTCTGTCTTTCGTTAATCACGAGAACAGAGTTAGATGAAAACGAGACCAGATATGGAAACTTGGAGGCCGGAGGCCCCAATATATGAATTTCCTGTCTAAGCCGTCAGTTACGTGATTTCGATTCAAAATTTTCTCGAATACTGAGTTAGATGACCGGCATGACTAGATTGTTGTTAGGAAAAGTATGATGTACAGGGGCAAGAGACCACTGAAATTCACGTTAGATATGGAAAGCTTAGAAATCCCGATTAACTATTTACAAACTTCTGATCTGGACCGGAAGTCACGTGATTTTTTAAAATTAAAATATGATTAAAAATTACAGCCTGGCATGGTGACGATGTCANATCAGTAAAAGAGTTTACATTACATTTACATAATTAACATTACAATTATTACATATTTATCCAATTTCTAATTGCTTAAAACATTTAGTTCAATGGATTAATTTATAATTTAGTATAATGGAAAATTTTATAACAAAAATTAAACATCCGCCTTTGACTATACCAAAAACTAACATGTACATTATTTACTATTTAATAAGATTTCTGAAATCTAAATAAATATATAAAACTTACCGGTTTCCATAGTTTTATTGTATCAAGAATATGATCTGCCGTAATATCAGATGTACAATTCTGCCAAGTAAGTATTAAAATTAATGGCTGTAATCTTTTCAGCAATGTATTTCCCAAAATACCCCATGCTTTATTGTTATCTCCATCAAGTATGATATTTGAAGTAGTTTTCTATTAAATTAAAAAAGATTTGTGTGTCTTAATAACAATTATATCATTAAAAAAATATACTAAAATAACATTTAACAAAATAATTAGCTCACCATTAATGAATCCAAAAAATGAACTTTTTGTTTGATGCAATATAAAAACATTTCACGGAAAAAAGTACTACCCGAAGCATTAATAGAATTGTTATCACTTAACATGCAATTAAAATTGCTTCTGTTATGCAGTTTGTCATCTTCTTCGCAGAATATTTGTAACAAAAAAGGAGATGTTTTACATAATAATGCACTATATACATCAGTCATATTTATAATATTAGCCATGCAAATTTCAGCTAAATCATATAATAATTGTCTTAATTTTTCTCTCTCTGTTTCATCTTGAATTTCGGGAAGTAAATGGAGAATGCATAATGTCTTCTTCACAAATTTCCTCTTCTTATCTTCTCCTTCTGACGAAGGTAATCTTGTAAAATACTGTAACTGTTTGATACAATATAATAAAGACTGAATATATATGCTATAAATCTGTACATTTGAAACTTTATGTAATTCATCGGAAATAATTAATTTTTGGAACAAAGAATCAATTTTATGCGGATCTTCTAGAAATAACGTTCTGAGAATGGTAAGACAATTGTTAGAAAAAGCATTAACTTCTACTACTTCGGATTTATTGATGTTTTCTGTATACCATTCACACAACTCCTGAAAACAATATTGTGTCAAATTTCTTCATATTTAATGTAATATATGTCAATGTAATTTAAGAAAAATTAATAGTACCTTTATTATTTCTTGATATTTATCCGATAAAACATCGTATATTAAAATTTGGAATTCGGCATTTCTTTTCAAAACGTCGACTTTAATCTGAAAGATGGTTAAATTGATAATAGGCAATAATATCTAAAATCCTTAAATCAAATTTTTTTATATCTTAATTATAAAAGTAATGGTTACTGACCTGTTTTGAAAGTGATTCTAAAAACTGGCAAATGAGCCAATTAAAATGATATATCGATTTAACTGGAGGATGAGACCTACAAGAAAAGAAATTGTTTTATTTAAAATTCAATTTTTTTTAAATAATTATTAGAAATGTTTTTGAATTAATATGAACACTAATTCAAATGTATTTAACAGTTTCATACATTTAAAATTAATTTTAATGGTGTTCAAAACTATTTATGAACATGTTTAAAAACTCTGTCTGTATGTTTATTATGCTACCAAGTCTGGACACTGGATTTATTAAAAAAAAATTTTTGTAGAATGATTTACTTTAGTATCAATCTTCATAAAGCAGCAGTGAGTTGCTCAACTTTCTTGGCAACATTTAAAACTTTGGTGGCACCATCTGTTATCATATTTTATTTAAAAACTTGTAATATATTTAATTATTATAAAATGGCAAAATGCTTAATTTTAAGGGTAGATATGGGTTTTATAAAACATTGTAAATACTAATAATGAGTAAAATTGTCATCAAGTCTAACCCTAATGGAGATACACACAACCCCCATTATCTACCCATCCTGTCGATCTTTAACTACCGAAATTTAATAGCATCAATCCCCCTAATAAAAAAAACCTCCCTACAAAATTTCAGAAATTTTCGACAAAAGACACAGGAGTTATTAAGCTTCAAACAGGGTGAACAAAATCGTGCCTCACACACACACACACACCCATCCATATACACACTAACACTCATACATACAGAAATTACCCCCCCAAATTTTTTTTGCATTTTTCAATATTTCAAGGTGTCCTGACTCCAAAAATGTAAAAATCTTTGGGGTCATTTTTTGACAGATCACCATACTTTCCCTCCATTATAACAGCTGGAAAAGTACAAATATACTCCTCTGTGATCTATACAAATTTTTGCATGCTCTAGTAATTTATGTATGCCCTCATGTAAGAATCTGCTTGAAATGCTGTGTAGTTCCCTCATTACAGACTCTTGGATTTCTGAAATTCTCTCTGAAATTTTAATGTGGAGAATAGGAGTGGTTAGTTAGATGCTAGACCAAAATCTCAGCAGCTTACCAAATTTGGCAAGACACTGAGACTATGGTAAGCACTGCCAAACATCTACTCATCCAGACTGCCAAAGAACTTATTATTGTAACCACCATGGAGCCTCTCTGAAACAAAAAGAAAACTCAAATCTTGATCAATGGATATGAATAATAAACTCTATGAAATAACATTAGAACTGCAGTATAATTGGTCAAGTATCACATTTTGTAAGAACCAATACAAGATGGCAGTTTATTGGCTTGAATGTTTCTGTTCTGTTTTGTTCTGTCTTTGACATTTTCATTCCAATTTATGTAGGGGATGACGAGATGACGGGATGTGTAGCCCCAAAAAAAGTTTAATCTGAAATAAATCCTGGACTACTTCATTGAATTTATTGTTACACATTTCTTATTTTTTTCAGTAACGAATTAAACATCCTCCTTTGACTATACCATTTTATTTTTCTGTGAGAAGTCTGCTTTCATTCAAACATTTCACGTCAGTTAGCAAATAAGCCCAATATAGCTGTGTATCTATATATGCATATAAAGGTATACTGTAGTTCCTAAATTTTTGGGGAGAAGTAAAATTTCTATCATATTACAGTACAAGAACTAAACACAAAATTAGATATAATATCTAGTCTTTATAAATAAAACAAATTTTAAAAAAATTTATAACAATGACATATATAATCATTTTGAATTATTTAATTTGAATATAATTAAATTTTTTCAACTACCTGTTGCATTTATATATTTCTAACACATTTTCTCAGTCAGTTATTAAGTGTATAGTTATCCAACATTCCACTTTACCAAAGTTCTTGATCACATATTTGAAAGTGAAAAAATAAAGAGAAAAATCACTCAATCAACAATTCCCCTTAATCAAGAAGACAAATTTTTCATTCTATCATAATGTTTTTGGGAAGGTGGGAGGAAAGGACTTTCCAAAAATGCTACAATAGAATTAAAAATTAGATTCCTTTTTTTGATGAGTAATTGAATTTAATATAGTTATTTCATTGTTTTGAACTACAGATAACAAAAACCTACATAAATGAATGTAAAAGTAGCATGATAAAAGCTTGTAAATCAACTAAAAATGAAGATGATAGGATACAAAGACCAACATTGATTTTAAAAAGAGGAAAGATTTGGAAACAATTCTTCATTATATACTACATTAAAATTAAGTAATGATAAAGGATGTGAGAATTATAAAACATTGAAATCAAGAAAGAGAAATACTGGTAAATAATTGGTTTATAGGTCTCTCTCTCACTCTTCTTTTTTATTTACAATGCTCTTTTTCAATCATGACAATATTTTAACTGATATTAATTAAGCTTATGTACTTTTTTACTTATATAAATTAAAATTTTAGTTTATTTTAATCAATTAATGTATTACTCAGCACTTTTGGATATGTGACATATTTCCAGTTTCATTTACTGAAAAATAGTGCAATCATGATTATTCATTCATTATTTAATACTGATTTTTCTAATGATCTAATATCACTTGTTGCTCAAACAACTCTTGCTCAAATATCTGCCAGCAGTGACAGATCCAAGGGAAGGTCTACAGGAGCTTAAGCCCTGCTTCAAAAAATTAAAATTTATTTGTTCAAACTTCAAAATGTTTTTAAAAATACTTCTGATGGCAAATATGGAACCATCCACAACACAACTGTCATGCTCACATTAAAAAAGTACTTATTAATTATTGAGATATTTTTTTATTTTTGAGTAAGCATCCCGCCATTTGGGTTCTTCTGAATCTACTACTGTCTGTCAGCTATTAATATTAATAGAAATATTTCTATTATACCAATCATCATCTCACTTAAAGCTTCATATGCATTGAAAAATACTCACAATTCTATATTTATTAAGTGTTATTTTTTTAATTCGAAAACTAATAGATTATCTATGAAATACATTCAACATTACATGGCATGTTCTCTGACAATACATGATATCAGTAAACTTGATTTAATTAATTTAATTAATTAATTAAATGAAATAAGCAATATGCCTTTAACAATGTGCAGACTTGGAAAAATGCTAGCATTTTCAATCTGGCTAGTGGCCATCTGCAAGTGTGAACAGACATAACAGATGGTCTGTTGAAAGTATGAAATCATATTACTTACTTCATTTTATGTTTATATACTGTATGTTGGCTTTTGCTAAATTCAATATGCATTATTGTTTTAAAACTTTCATATAAAATAATATTAAAAGTCAATAAATGAACATCACCCATAACACAAATGCTCAGTCATAATTATCACATATAAGAATCCTGTAATTTTGTATAAATGAATGAATAATGCCATTGAAAACAAGCATAATTAGGTATATTAGGTAGATTTTGAGGTTAATTTTAAGTTATTTTCCTTGACATCATTCATCAACATTGTTCATAATCAAAATAAGCTAGATTTCTGCTTGTTTATTTGTTTTCTTTTAGCTACACAGAAAATTTTTACATATAAAATTTTAATTGTCTTGTTTTCCAGACATCTTAATTTCTTCATTAAAATTGAGTTGCAAATAAATTAGATTTATTTGTAACTCAATTTGTTTATTTATTTAATTTATGTTTCTCTCATTGGACAGAAGTGCTTTATGTTTGGAATCATATGATTTATTTGAAAGCATTGACACTCTCTTTTAGCATGATATTTACTATTTTAAAATGCTCACAGTGTATCTAGTCTTCAGTAGTCTGTATTTATGTAAAAATTCTTTATGATAAACAAACCAAGTCAAGTATAAAGAGCAACTCCACAATTTTAATATATTTATGTATGATTAACATTTTATTTTGTTTTAATAAATGACAATATTTTATTACTTTATTAAACTCGACAAATCAAATAAAAATACAAACTATATATAAATAGTTTGTATTTTTATTTGATTTGATTTATCTATATATATAGATAAATTATTACTGATACAAAAAGAAAAAATGTTAGCAAAATAGCATAACTACAAACATCTTTGTTATCAATATTAAATTAACATAAGACAATTTAATTTTACAATGGACAACCTGATGTACTATTGTAGCAAACTATCTGCCATTATTCATTACATAACTATGTAATAAAGTAAAAGTACATACAAAGCAACATTTCAGATAAAATTATATAATTTAAATTGAAAATCTGGTAGTACTTTTATTCTTTATTATTGAACTTATCTGACAACCAAGAAAAAAAAAAAAACATAAAAACAGATTCTATATTATAATAAAACTGTAAATATCATCAAAAACTTGCAATAGGTTTACTTAAATTTAAAATTAATATTAACTTTAATTTCAAAAACAATATTTAAAAAAATATATTTTGATGCTATCAATGTTTACCTGTAAAAGAATATTTTATAAACATTAATATTAAAATTTACATATTTATGTTTATAAAGTTTTTACATTTATGTCTCTTCCACAGCTTGGAAGAGAAAAATATTTAAAAACAAAAATAATGGTTTCAAAATGTCTTAAGTAAATTACACCTTTAAAATACTTTTACATTTATATTAAATAATAATAAATTATAACAATAACACATCAACAATCATTATTGCCAGAATATTGAATTCCATCAAGATTATCAGTACATTAGTTGATATGAAAAGCTAAAGTTACCTAAGTTTTTCTTTTGTTTACTCCTGTGATTAATTTGCGCAGTTATCTGTAACTGTACAAATTAATTTTTCTTTTAATCACTTTTTCTTTTAAATGGCCTACTTATGTTATTAAATTCTTGTTCTTATAGAGCAGAGATTTCCAGTTGGGGTATGTGCTTGATGATTTAGGGGTACATGAAAAAAATTAATAATAGCAGATGTACTATAAAAATATTCAAATTCTGTATTGAGGCATTCTGCGACATCACAGCATTTGATGCTAGTTTTAAGTGGAAATATACAGTGGGTGATTGGTTAATGAACATAATCAGTTCCAAGACTTTGTTCGTTATCTGAATTGTTCATTAACTGATTATGGATTTACCATAGGTTTTTATGGGAATTTGATTAATTCATTCCGGAGACTCCAAAAAATAAAAAATATATACTTTTTTTACTACGTTTATTTATATGTAATAGTAAAAATGTATATATATGCAGTCTTGCACTTTTATTAGTCATGTTTTTTCCATTTATTGGGGGTTAAAGAATCTGTCCAATGTCGATTGCTTTTCTCTTTTCTTCAGGATTTTTTGGAAGTAATTAATAGTATTGTAATTGTAGAGATCCCCAACCCCATTAACCTTATTCTGGTTTGGATGCCACTTGGATGATCATTGTTCTGACATCCTCCCACTTCTTCAAAAGATCTTTAGTAGATGATGTTGACATTGGTCCTCTTTCATCTTCCTCTTTTTCAAAAGAAAACACATCTTGCCAAGTTTCTTGGTATTCTTCATTTGAGAGTTCTTGGAGTTCTTCTGTCATCAGATCAGTTTCAGGTTCCATTATGAGCTCTAAAATGCTCTTTATTTCTCGGATGTGATTTTCATTACTCCATTAGCAGCTTGAGACTTCTTGATATATCTTTCATAGCTAAGACTGTGCCTACTGTAGACCTGTTCAAGCCATACTGCCTAGCAACCTCAGACATCTTGTGCCCACTTTCTATCAAGTAAGAGATAATAGCTATTATCTCTTACTTGATTTCTACAGTGAGCACAGTTCTTGACACTCCTCTTTTTAGGCTCCATAATATTATCAGTTTCTTTTTTAAATGAAAAGTTCAGAAAAGCACTTACAAAAATTCAGAGAACAGAAATCAACTAGATCATAAAAAATTATTTAAATGCAAGGCCCTGATGAAATTTGAAATTTGGTATTAAAACATTAACGAATATCTGATGGGACAGTTAAACTTTCATCTTTCGTAAATAAACCCCGACACAAAACTTAACAAGTGCCCGTCCGACAGTCTTGCGAAGACTATAAAAAATTATTTGTCAGAAAGATAAACAAAAATCTGGAATTACAAGGAAGAGTTTCAAAATTCGGAAGAATTCTATCCGATTGGTATCGGGTTGAGCGTCGATGCTGACATCTCCCGCACTTCAAAAGGTTTTGAATTGTTACCTGAAGACAAGGGAAAATCAATCAGTGTTCATTATTTTCTGCCGCTTCTTTTTATGTTTGTTCAGTAAAGTGTTTGTTATGCAAACATGTGTTCATTGTCCAATCATAAAAATCATATGCAAAAATGTTCGTTATCCAATTTGTTCGCTATCCAAACTGTTGTTAACCGATCACCCACTGTATATCATATTTATAAAATAAATAAGTCTTATCTTTATATATATATAAAATTTATTTATTTAAATGTTTACAATCAAAATAATTTTCTTCATTATGCTATTCATAAAAGGGTAATTTAGTATTGGAAGAAATTAAAAATAGCAAACAGTTTAAAATTTCTATTTTTATTTCCAATGACAGTAATTATATTGTATAGCCTACTTCAAACATATCTAGTGTTTTATGCTATTCAGAAAATAGGAATATTACTGTAAAAATTTGGAAAATTTTTGTAAATTAAATGTAAATCTTCAGAAAAAATTTATAAGATGTTTAAAAAATTAGATTTTTCAAATATGAATATCATTTTATTGTATCATAATTAAACTTCTATAAAATGTCAACATTAGATGTTATATCAAACTGCAATTCATTACAAATTAATTTTATTTTATGGAATAGTATGTATATATGTCTTACTTATGATTTATTATAAATTACAGTAAGTGTACAATTAGTTTTAAAAATGCCAATAGCGTTTAATTACAATATATTCATAAACAATGAAAAATAGCTTCAAATTGCTTTACAATATAACAAAAGTCTGTTTTGTTGGAGCTCACTTTAGATATCAGTTTTCCAAGTAATTTATATACTACATGACATGAAAATCCATTAATGTTTAAGATATGACATAGGTCAGGACTGGCAAACCTATGGCACACATGCCCAAAGTGGCATATAACATATCATATGATTTTGATCTATCATTTGTCTTTATCAATCAGCTTTTTTACATTTATTCTAATTAAAGTACATTCCTTTAATTTCTTTAAATATTGTTATTCAAGTCTTTGGCATGCATAAGCATCTTTAAAGCTAAGTATGCTTACAATATGGTATGCAGACTCAAAAAAGTTTGCCATCCCTGATATAGGTCAATATAAGACCTATCAATGTGTCTAATGTCTGGAATGGTATTAGATAAGGAGTTAGAAACTCTAGAGGAAATAGCCTATAGTAATGGATTAATTATGAGTTATTTAGCAAATTCATGAGGAAAGTTGAAAATAAAAGAAAGGAGGATGACACACACAGAAAAGAAAGTGAAAATAGCCTGCATATTTTGTAGGTAGATTGAGAAAAATTTTCTATGGATTTCTATATATACTTTCATTCCTTGTCATTTTCTCCACCTGAAAATGACAAGGAATGAAAGTATACTCAAAATAAACTGTATCTTATTTGATTTGGTTAGAAATGGCAGAGGTAAAGGCAAGAGAGTATTAATGCAAATGTTCTGTTAAGTGATAAGAGAGAGTAAATAAAGTTATGTAGGAGCCATAAAAAAAATCCAGCAACGAGCTGCTTAACTTTCCAGCAACATTTGGTGGTGTCATCTGTTATATTTTATGTAAAAACTTTTTACATTTTTAATTATTATGAAATGACAAGAAGCTTAATTTTGACGGTGGGGATAGGTTTTATAAAAAATTGTAAATGCTAACAACAAGTAAAATTGTCATTAAGTCTAGTCCTACTGGAAATACACAAAACCCCATTATCCTCCCACCCCCTCAACCTTTAATCGCCAGAATTTAATAGCATCAATTCCCTTAAACAGACCTCTCTGCAAAATTTCTGAAATCTTCGACAAAAAGCACAGGAGTTATTATGGTTCAAAGGAAGTGAACAAAATTGTGTCCCCCCCACACACACACTAACATCCATACATGCAGAAAAAACCCCAAATTTTTTTGAATTTCTTGACATTTCAAGGTGCCCTGAGTCCAAAACTGCAAAACTCTTTGGGGGTCATTTTTTAACCAATTCCCATAGTTTCCCTCTGTTGTATATAACAGCTGGAAAAGTAAAAATCACTACAAACTAGAATAGAAGAGATATTATAAAAAAATCATTACCATGTTGAGTCAGAAGCTCTTAATAAAGAAAACAAAACAAAGTGGGAAGATGCAAATACAGGTATACCTCGCCTTACGTCGGTAATTGGTTCCAGGAGAATGACTTAAGTCGAAAAACGACGTAAGTCGAATTTACTTGTCTCCGAATCTACTTGTCACTAGGCTAAACAATAAATTACCAATTCCCATTCTGTATTTTATGTATTAATGCATTTTTAATAATATATGGTTAATAAGGATCTATTTTAAGCTTACAAACAAATAAATTTTAGTTTTTAATATAGTACAGAAAAAAGTACTCTGAATTTATGAATGCATGTACTGTAAATACAGTACATACTTGTAAATGTATATAATATGATTTTATGTGCTTTAAACATTTTTCTAGTGATATTGCGACTTCAATATTTGTGGCGGACAGACGTAAAGTCGAATAAAATGACTTAAACTTGATTTTTAATTTTCCATATACTTTTTTGACAAACAACGTAACTCGAAATGATGTAAGTCGAGGTATACCTGTATAAGAGAAAAGGAGATTTGTAGATTGCAAAGAAAGTACAGAAAAGAGAAGAAAGTATATGAAAAGAGTTTGATTGGGGACATAATTAATAGTGAAGTCTGCGAAACATTATCAAATATTTTGAAAATGGCTCATAAACAGTTATATTATTAATAAAATATATTTTTTATACTGTTAGGGATATACAAAAGGTGAAACTTTTTTGTAGGAGAGTGAGACCAGTGATTTTCCATTTGGTGATCTTGTTATTATTTTATAGTTATTGCTGCTGATGTCAAAATATAGTTCGTGCAGAGAGATTATGTAATATTAATGTCACAGGTATGGGAGAATGAAAGATATAAAGTAATTTTATAGTAGGAGGGTACAAGTAGGTAGGTGTCAACTGTCTTAGAGCATAAAACATCCAGATGTTACATAAACAAATTTAAATGACTTATCTACCAAGATAATTAAATTTACTTATGTGTCTGGCACGAAATGGTAGATTTAAACTAAGAAAAGTGTTAATATAAATAAAAGTTACGTTCTTAATCCTAGCAACACATTTATTAAAATTAAAAACATTTTTCAATCAGTTTGAGCAACCTTATTTGGTTAACAACAACGTTGAATAAAAGAATACAATTTAAAAATTCAAACATCGCATTCTATTTTTAAATTTTATTCTTTTATTCGACGTTTCCGTTTACTGAAGGTCAGTCAAACTGATGAAAAACATTTTTAATTTTAATAAATATGCTGCTAGTGTTACGAAAATATCTGACACATTCACATGCACTTTATAACTTGTTTTCTTTGACATTTTTGTTCCTGTATGCTCTACAGCTCTGTTAAGGTCCCGAACATATCATTAGAGCTTGAATTGAGCCTTAATAACTGTAAATTTTAAAGATAATGATTTCTATTTAATGCATGGTGTTTTTAAAGATGTGCTTAATCTTTAGTATGTCTAGTCAGAAGGCAGCTTGCGGAAAGTATTCTGTAGATAAAACCTGATAAAATGATACCGATGAAGTGTTTAGATTCTGATTTAATTGTAGTTTGTACATAACTAGACATAAGTAATAACAATTAAATCAGATTTAAGGAGTATTGCTGGATATTTTTCAAAATCTTTTCTGTTATATAAAATATATTATTTCAGTGAAATATAACTTTAAAATCAAATTAATAACTAGTATCACTATTGTATCCTTACAGTTAAAGCTATTGTGGCTGTTTCTAAACAAAAATCTAGGACAATCTCACCTCACTAAATGAGGATTTCGAATGACTTTCTTCAAGATTTCACTTAAGTTTTCTGTATCAGTCGATCCTTCCAATAAGGCAGTAGAAATGTATCCTTTAGCTAATTCCCATCGTCCTAAATATATATTTTTCTCTAATTCCTTATAAAGTAAGTGATTCGATTGTGGTATATTTCGATAATTAAACAACTCAAACTGATCTCGATCATCTTCCATCCTCGAATTTCCTGCATGTATAAATTAACGCAAAGCTTTTCTGAAAATAAACTCGGGTGTTGACATTCTAAAAAGAATCACGTGTCGTCATCATGTGCCAGATGTGTCTACCATTTTAAATACATTTTCCATAAACATCTGTTAAATAAAATGTAAATTACTTATTTAAAAAATGTAATAAAAATATTTCGGTAAATATTTTAAGATTTATAAAAAATTAATTTATTAAATATTTGTTTATTTTTTAAAATAAATTGTTAAACATCGAAGTCATGGGATTTATGAATCATTCGCAAGTGTTTATCTGTTGATGATAAGTAGACAATAGCGAAAATGAAAGTATTTTTTAAATTTTAAAATATTTAATACTTGACTAGAACAATCCTTCTTGCTTTTGTTATTATTATTATTTTACTTTCTTCGCCTTGTGGGCATCACAGAACCTTTTCTCCGTGTCCTTCTGGAGCGCCAGGTTTTTACCTTCTTCTCCCGATCCCGTACCTCATCACCGGCCATCCCATTGTGGGCCTGGCCGAACTCATAATAGGCTTGCTAAAAGAGGCCCTCTTAGTATATTTTATTTTATATTTACATAACAGCACATTTTTAAGTAAAATTATATATACTTGTATAATGTCAACATTCCTCTTAATTATATAATATGTTATCCTGTTATGAACATATATGTTGACTTTGCTTCGATAGAAAAATTCTAAATTAATGTTGTTATCAGTATTTCAACGAATCGATCTTGATAACAACAAACTTCAAAACTACAATAAAAGATTAATTTATAGTTTATTATCCTAGTGATAATATAAATCATACGACAGTCGGATGGCCGAGCGGTTAATGTGTTCGGTATACCGCTGTGGGGCCTGGGAAAAAATACGAATGAGCACGAAAAACCCAAGGAATCTTTCGGTGAGTGTCTGTCACAATATGTTGGGCTCGTCTCTCACCATCCGGTATCTCCAGTATGAGCTAATAGTCAAACCTATAATGGGCTTGATAAAAAAAAATAAAAAAGAAGAAGTCCTCTTATTGCCCATAGGGCGGAAAAAGCAAAAAAATAAGCCAGCAACGAGTTGCTCAACTCTCCAGGCAACATATATTTTGGTGGCATCATATGTTATCAAATTTTTATTTATAACCTTTTTATATTTTTAACTATTACAAAATGGCAAGAAGCTTAATTTTCAGGGTAGAGATGGGTTTTATAAGAAATTGTAAATGCTAATAATGAATAAAATTGTCATTAAGTCTAACCCTACTGGAGATACACACAACCCCCATTATCTACCCATCCTGTCGATCTTTAACTACCAAAATTTAATAGCATCAATCCCCCTAATAAAAAAACCTCCCTACAAAATTTCAGAAATTTTCGACAAAAGACACAGAAGTTATTAAGCTTTCAAACTGGGTGAACAAAATTGTGCCACATATACATATACACACACACTAACCATACTCGCCATACTTTTCCCTCTGTTATAACAGCCGAAAAAGTAGAACATTATACGTAATATTCAATACCCAGGACTTGCGGAAGACATTTCCTTAAAAGAAAATTAGTACCAAAACTCGATGGGCTGATAACTGAGCAGTTAAGGTGGCATCTATCCCTCTGGTAGACCCGACATCGAATCCGGATGGATCGAAAATCCCGGAATTTTTGGGGGTAGTCCCTTCGAGTATGTTGGGCCCCATTTCTCACCACCCGGCAGTCCCATTGTAGGCCTGGTCGAACCCATAATAGGTTTGCTGAAAGGCCCAGAGTGTAATATTTTTTAAAAATTTCAAAACTCACCACTGTTACAATTTTTGGCGCTGTAAGCAACGAAAAGCAGTTTCTTTTGCATAAGCACATGTGTGACAGCCACGTTCTGAGTGTAAAAGTTGTTACAACTGTTAAATTTTATTCTTATCACCTCTAATGACCATCACCTTAACATAATGCATATGCCTTGTGAAGCTGTTTTATGAAAACAATGGCAATACTGCGGGAATTTTGTCGTTGCAAAAATTTAAGCAGAGGAATCCACAAACTTACAGAAGAATGATCACTCGATTTACGGAAAGTAGACATCTGGGAGTTCAATCCAGTTCAGTTGCATTTGCAATCGTGCACATGCAGTGCCACGAGTTTTGCGTATCCTATGGCATAGTATGAAAGGTACTAAAAAAGTTGGTGCATTGTCAATCGTATAAGATCAATAAGATCAGCTGCAACAAATAGTTAGTTGCTTGCAGTCGAAAAAACTAACTAACCTTTACATTAATCTTCTTTGCCAGAATGAATGGGGTGTATTATAGCCATGGAAGATCCTTGGGAGTGACAAGGCACGTTTTCACCACAGCGGGACAATAAACCCCCTTAACTATTGCATATGAGCTATAGACCCAGAATGCAGTAGAATCTGCAAAAAAATAGAAAAAACCCTCATGTTTTCTGGAGATTCTACTGTCTACATATTTCCGTTATGATTGCAAAGAAATACCGTAATACTCCATCTCCAGTTCAAAACATAATAATGAAATAAAAAAGCATAATTATCATTGTCATGCACTATGACCTACATCACTATATCCACTTTTAAGAAAATTTAAGGATAAAAATTAGTTTTTGTAGATGAATTTCTACAATGTATAAACTATTTTTGATTGGTGTGAACATTCCAAATTGTTCAGTAAAGCATCTTACAATGGCCTTCGATATTCGGCAATTTTGAAAATTGACAATGTAAAGTACTTGAAAACAGCATCTGGTTCTCAATAATGCCAATTTCATGTTTATTAAACCATAACCTATACGATTTGATTAATATGATACATTTCATAATATTTGATATAGTTTGAAAATTTTAGTTTTCTGCTTCCTATATGAACGATAATTTTAAATTTTGTTAGTTGCCAATCGAAGAAATTCCACAGAAAAGAGAGGAGAACAGAAATTATAAACAGAACCGGATTTAGATTCGTGGTCCTGCGCTACAATATAAAATAGGCCTTTCCTTCTTCACCAAATAATAATGGGCAATATGTATAAATTGTCTTTGATAATAGAACGAGGCCTCTCGTCACGTAAGGTCCTAAACTGTAAATCCATCTCTGAATATAAATATAATAAAACGTTAACTGTTTGAAGTTATAATGGATATAATCTATTTTAACAGAAAACTTAGCAAAAATCTAGTTTGAAAATAAACGAGGAACCTTTAAAGTGAAAATAATAAGCAATAAGTGAAGAAAAATGATAATTCTTCTCCTTGACTCGTTCAAGGATTAGGCGATTTTGTCTGTTTGAGCTTTAGAGGTCATTCCATCTCTTCCTGAGTCTTCCCACGTCTCTTCTCCCTCTTGGTTTATAATTAAGCAGCTCTGTTGTCGGTCTTCCTTCTTTCTACAAAAAAAAGAAAAAAAAACTAAAAATCAAGTAAAGGCCAGGGATGTGTGAAAATGGTTGGTCACCCTTTCACGCGAAAAAACCATTTAACTCAAAAGTTCTGAAGCAATTATATGCCGGATGGTTTAAATATAAATATAAATTAATTATTATTATATAACTTAGTCTTATATCATCACTTCTTACTGGGATCATAAACTCTACCTTGATCATATATAATTATGTAAGTACTCACTAGCTGCTTCAGGATTTGAGGGGATGGGGAATTGGTGAGGGTGATAAAAACAATGGTTTTAGTAACTAAGATATACAGATATACAGTTATTGACTTGTGTATTTACAAAAATACAGTAGTGATTAAGAGGAATGGACTTTAAGAGTAGTTGTTTGGCGAGTGGGTGGATTTCAACCTTCCAACCACCCTAACGTCGAATGGTATAGAACTTTTTACCTAACATATATATAATATATATATAATAATATATATATCTATTATTATATATATATATTAGGTAAAAAGTTCTATACCATTCGACGTTAGGGTGGTTGGAAGGTTGAAATCCACCCACTCGCCAAACAACTACTCTTAAAGTCCATTCCTCTTAATCACTACTGTATTTTTGTAAATACACAAGTCAATAACTGTATATCTGTATATATTATTATAATATATAATAATATATATATCTATATTATTTTAAAAAATTAGTTTAAAAAAAAGGTCGATATTGTAATCAATTAAAACTAAAAATTCGGATGACGCATGTTGTTCTCTCTAGTGACCCGAATAGCTATTTTAAATAATGTTGACATGCAGTTTTTTTAAAACAACGTCACTAATTAAAATCTCCTCTTTAGTTACATTTCCAACGGGAGTTCTAAAGTTAGTAAAAAATTTTTAATTTATAAAAGTTATATTATTTCGAGTTACGCATAAGCCAATTAAATGCTTGCTGTTTGCTCTTGTTACCAATGAAACTTCAAAATTTCATGGGTATAATAACGTAAATATTTACCTTTTTGTCGAATATTTTACCAGTTAAATTGGAACGTTTATTTTTAAATATTTTCTTCTTCTTCTTCGTCTTTCTTTTCCCTTGGTGGGAATTAGAATGTTATTTAGTTTCTGTACAGTACATGTTATTGATTCGTTTGTAGTATATATGTGTATGTACTGTACAGGCCTTGTGTATTGTATAATACAAAGGGCCTTCGAGGAAGAAATTGGGAATTTTTCCCCGCACCCGAAGAAAACGTGGTCTATTGTGATTTCTATCTGTATAAATTAATATTATTTTACTAAAAAATAGGCAAGAAGGCTTGCTTTTATCTTAAGTCCCATACCAAGCTTTTGACATCCCTTACTGTACAATTATACTGTACAGACTGATGTAAATTCAAATGTATTGACTATATATATATATATCAATATTATATACCTACATACTACGGTGAAACCTGCCTAAAACGGAAACGTTGATACCTTGCGATTCTGCTTTACATAGGTTGCACTGTATTAATCAATATAACGTACTGTACACGTACTGTACAGTAATAACGTATATAGTAAAACAAAATGAGTTACAGGAGAAATAAAATACAAATAAAGTATAAAATATGTAACAAACACATGTTTACGTAAAATTATTTACAAAATTGTTGTAGTTGAGGAATGACAATGGTGACAAAGAACGAAATCTAGAGGGAGCTGATTAGAGGGACTGTTGTGAGTTTGTTGTAGGAATATATGAGTTGTCTGAAGTATAAGTAAATGTTCTTGTTTTCTATCAAGTAATTGCACTCGCACGGCCAACATTCCCCTTTGTCCAAAATTGTGTGCCTCGAAAAGTGGCGAGGCACGGATAGCATGGCACGGATAGCATGGCACAGAAAAAATGTACGTTCACACAATACAATACGTTATAATAATTTATATAATATACATTATAATTTACACCAATATCAAACAATTTAATGATCAAATATTTAAACGCAATTTTAAAAAATTAATTATTTTTATTTAATAGATATTTTTACCGATAGATGGCGAG